TTTTATTCATATGAAAATATTTATGGAAGTCAGTTTTTCTTTTTTCTTTCCTTTTTTTTTTTTTTTTTTGCTCTTCTTTTGAACTTCAATTCTCAGGAACAACTAATTTTAAATGTCTTGATCATAAATAATATCAGGGTTGTAAGCATACAGTCCAAACATTGGCAATTTGTAGTTATATTCATTTACATTTTGGCTCTTCAGACAACTCACTTTACAAATAGGAGTTGCAGGGGGAAATATGATTCACCTGATGATACAGAGAAAGATTTCTGCCTCTTCTCTCCGAACATGGACGATCTGTGGTCTGCAATATTGGCGGTGCTCCAGCCACTTTCAGCTTTCTGTGCCTGCCTCTCTTCTGGCTTTCTAGATTTCCCCCTTTCCGTATCTCTCCCTCTTTCACCTGCCCCTATCATTCATCTTCCCATTTATTGTTTTTCTTTTGTCCATCTTATCCTTCAGATTTTCCCATGTACCTTGTAGTATCCACGAGTCCTACCTCAGTGTTCAACAAATCAATTCTGGAACCCTTACAGTAGACTACCATTGAATTTTGTTCTGTGTTTCCCCAAAGCAAAATTTCTTAATTTCTATATTTAGCTACTTTCAATGAATGTAAAATCACTGTCCTCCCATCTGCCAAAATTGAATAACTGTGATGCTTTTGTATAATAAACGAGATCAAAATATAGCACCAGAAGATGGAAAGGAAGTTGATTAAGAACATCTTGGCAGCTGATATTCTCCAATTATCTGCAGAGCCTTTAATTTAACTTTTCTCAAATCTCATTCCATTTAGCAAATTTAGGCTTTAAATTTATCTCCTGGAAGAATGTTTCTTTGGCCCTGCCACTATGTCACTTGAAGCCACTAATTCTCAAAATGAAGTCGTAGGGAAGGATGAAATAAGTTCCAAATCTGACATATGAATTTGTCTTCCTCATGTATCAAAGATGCCTTATTCTTCACAAATGTATCTACTGATTAAAATAAAAATATCATCGTATTTTTTTTCAGATAAATTTTGCAAGGTTTTGTGCCCATGAAAATTGTTCTGCTGATTTACAGGTTTCTGCAAAAATTGGATTTTTCAAGTAAGTTTAGGATATTCTTTCTTTTTATTAAGAGGACATAATATGTGCATGTATATGGGTTCCAAAGAAAAAGAGTAATCTTTTAAAATTAGAAAAGAGTAATATTTTACTGAATAAATACATATATATATGTATATATTCATTCAGTACTAGATTTGGCTATTAGTACATATTTTATATATATACAGATACATATACTGTATATAAATATATATATATATATATATATCCACACACATATTACAGTGAGTATGCATTCAAGGATTACCACTTTTCAAAGAATGAGTATATGCGAGCAGTAAGGCGTTAATGAACCATGCTTTAAACTTTTATCAATAATTTTGAGGATATATCCAGGTGTAATTGTGCCTTAGGATATCATGGTATGTTTTAACATTTTTCAGAGCTTGTTAATAGTTTTGGTAGCAAAATGAGCTTTCACTGTGTAGTACGTGGTTCGTTTACCACTCAGGAAACTGGTTATACCATTCACACCGGTATACAAAACAGTACATGCAGAACAAATTTGAAAAAAAAAAACTTTGTCATCTAAATTCATAGAAGAGAGTAAAAATAGTATGTGTGTAACGTGCTTAGAATAACATGTACCACATGTGAGAACTAGATATACAGTGGTTGCTAGTGTTATTTTATGAGGGAAGATGAGCCATTATAATTTCTTGTCATGTCTAGATCCCCTATCTTGACCTTGTTTTGTGCATCAGAGGTAAGATGTGAAAGTGAGGGCCAGAGAGAGTCCCCACTTGCGGTTGAGGGTCAATGGCACGTGGAAAGGGCAGAGGAGACGAGGCAGGAAGCAGTGGCAGGGTCGGCATGAGAGACCAAGTAGCAGGCTCGGTGCAGTGTCGGGAGCTTCAGAGGCATTCACGTGGGATGGACAATGCCCTTGGAAGGAACCTTGCAGGTTCCCCTGTCCTGCCTCTTTCCCTGTCTTTGACCCCCACATTTGTGTCTCTCTGTGCTTAAATATCACTTGATAAATACATAAAAATTCTTCATTTGAACCCACCTCTTCCCAGTGTCCTCTCCTTAATTACCTATTCTGTCATTTGGCTACTAGTACATGACTAAGAAACAGATTCAGTTAGTAACAAGGGTACATACTACGTGCTGGTATACAAAGTGGTAGTCACTATTTTCGATTATGCAATAGGGAGCCAGTCTGGTTGATTTAAGTATAGAGTCCAATTGCCAGCTGGGCGTGGTGGTGCGGTGGTGCATTCCTATAATGCTGGCCCTCTGCCAGGCTGGGGTGGGAGGATTCCATGATCCCGCCCAATCAGACAACTTCGCAAGGACGAAACAGAAAGGCTGAGAGTATACCTTAAGGCAAAGACCCTGGGTTCATTCCCCAGTACCACAAAAGGAAAGGAAGAAAGAAAGAGAGAGAGAAAGGAATTCAATTACAAACCAAATAGGTAAGGTCTTCTGGCCAGCAAGTGGGAATGTCCAAAGCTATATTGGTATTGCCTAAGCCAAAATATAGGTAGTTCATTTATTTTCTGCCATTACATATTTTTCCTTAGTTTCAGTTTCCACAGTTTTAGTTACTTGCAGTCAGCTGTGAGTTGAATGTAGTAAATGATAAATTGCAGAAATAATTCAGAAGGTTTGAGGTGCCCACTGTTCTGAGTAACATGGTGCGGTCCCTCCCTGTCCTGCTTTGCCCTGCACTGTGTACACTTCCTACCATGCCTGCCACTTAGTAGTTGTCTCAGTTATCAGATCAGCCATTGCAGAATCACAGTACTCAGGATGGAGTAATCCCCTTTTGCTTAATTTTGGACCCCAAGGACTTTAGTGTAGCATATTGTTAATTTGCTTAATTATTGTTACTTTTTTATGTCTAATTTATGAAAAAAGCTTTATCTTATGTAGTGTGCACAGGGAACATGGTATATACATAGGGTTTGGTCTGTCTGCAGTTAGGTGTCCACTGAGGATCTTGGAACACATGCCCCAGGCTAACAGGAGACTGCTCTACATTGTGCCTAGGGGTTCTTATAAATTTTGATAGTTTTTAGATTCATTCAAAAAAAGATTGTGAATTCTGACCATCATTTTGTATGTGTGGCTTATGTCCTGAGAGCGCTGCTAGCCGTGACTTGGCTAGGTTTTCAATCTCAGGAGATTTGTAGTGGCGTGAATGTCAGTGTCAAATAGTAGGCCCAGGATCTCTTTCATCAGTTAGAAAAGTTGCAAGCTACCTCTGCTAGGGTAAGCAATAATATATTTGAGGGACTTCCAAATGAAAATTCTTCTAATTAGATTTTAGATCTGCGGTGTAAACTGTTGACAAACCACCTTGCATTTTTAGTAAATTCTTCTCTTATCAGACAAAAGCATGCCCCGCACTTAGGTGTCCTCTTCGCCTTCTCAGTTGAGAGGAGACCAATTGAGACCACATGTTCGACGCATTCTCTGGGGTCCATCTCCACTGGCACGACTGGTATTTGTGTGGTCCAGATCTTTAAACCTGTTTTCAGTAAATGTATTTACTCAGTAAAGAATGAGTTTCTGAAGCTAGCAATAATAAACAGCCGACAGTACCCTGCACAGTGCTTATATGAGCTGTCTCGTCTCTTAATTAAGTTCTCGGGGTAATAAACCACATTCAGATGATTTCCACTGCCGAATAAAGATGTATAAATATGACTTTATGTAATAGCAGGGTCAGCCAACATATAGGCGGCTCAAAATCAAATCATTGTTATAGCTTAATGATATAAATGGCACTACTTCTCCATACTTCTGTCATGCTTCTAGAGTAAGCAATGCAGGCTTTCCCTGAACAATTGCTCTCGTATCATTAGAAACACGTTTAACTGCAGGTAATGATACCTGATTGGCAGTGACTTAAACAGTGAAGAAATTTAGTTTTGAGACATGAGCAGTCTGGAGGAAGGAGTTTGCAGGTTGTGAGCACCTACAAAAGACCACCCATTGCTGGCCATCTTTTCCATTCCTTTGGCTTTTTCCTCTTGGTCACAGTATGGCTGCAGCAATACTAATGTTCCCAGCAAAAAATAAGTTTCAAGAGCAAAAACACTTTTTCTTCTTGAGACTTCTTTTCCAGGAAGGGAAGTACCTTATCAGACTTACTCTGACTAACCAGACTTGTTTGGCATATACTCCTGGATTAGTCTTGCTTCAGTCCTTGAACCCGAGCTAGAGCTGTCTTTTGCAATATCAAAGAAGTCCTGCCTATTGCCTGAATAATCAGGGTTGTGTTAGCGAGAGGAGAAAACACTTTTGGATAGACAGTAGGCAATGATCCATCTCTGCCATTATGCTGTTAACCCTCAAGGATTAGTGTTATGAAATTGTCCTTAAAACAGAGGTAGTAGGAATAGATGCTCACTGACTTCAGATAGTTTGGGGAGGACAAATTATGTGCTTTATACCCTAAAACATACTAATTACCCTTCCACTCTTCAGTCCAAGTTCTCCTGATGTCTTCCCCTTGGTGTCAATGAGTTCGCCTTTATTTGACACATTTTCTTTATATGTCAGATACCTCATCTATTCCAGTAGGCAAGAATTTTTCAGCATTTTAATTTTCCCCAGAGTCAACAGTAAAGTAAAAAGGGAATAAAATTTCACTGAGGTCTGTAGGCGACTTGCCACAGGCTCTTCTTTCGTCAGATAAATTTAGCACATGTCGTGACACAGTGAAATATGTCATTTTATGTTATATTTTTTTCTAGCATCATGATTAAAACCCAGTCTACTGGGAAGCCCTTATTCACAAAGCAAAGCAAATTTATTGTACTAAGACTTAGAGAGTATTTCTTGCAAAAATCAAATGATATTGTTCATTCAGGAAAAACCTAAAGTCTGGTGTGGGAATATATCATTTTTCTATTTTTTCCTCTTTCACTTATTAAGTTATGATTCTGGATTTTCACAGTGCCTTGATTTGGTTAAGGTATGTGGATTCAAGGTTGCTTGGTAAATTTCACATCTGCATTATACATGTTTTAATGAAGAATGAACGATGCGTCCCAGAGAAAGCGCCAGCTCAGTCTTGTCGCAGGTCCAGATGTGCACCTGGTCCTTTATTATGTCTCACACAGAAAGCTGGTGGGAGAGCTTTCCACAGGCTTCATGTTAACGGATCAAGATACAGTAAGATGTGCATTTAAAAAGTAGAATTTTAACTGTGGTAATGTGGCAAAATAGCTTAGAATTGGAAAATAAACCAGGAGACTCACTGCTGAAATGTGCACATTGTGTTTTTCTCTAATTTGCTGTTGTCTTGGATCCTGGCTGCAGACGCAGTGATTTCACCTTCTGTTGCTTGTCTAAGTGCCAACTTCTCTCCCAAAGGTGTTCGGTGACTAATGCTTTGGTTACCAGCCAGAATATTTTATAAACGTCTATTTCTAGGCCTCTCTTCCACAAGTCTTAATTAAACTTTAATGTCAAGCTGAAGTTTACTTTTAGAACCTCTTAGGTTCCTCTGGTTGTAACATGATTAGAGAAGAGCAGGGGGAATGCAGGACAACTGTGTTACCAAACGCTTTATCGCTCCCACTTAACAAGTGCCATCAACCAGACATACAGGGACTTAGCATGGGAGTGAGTGAATCACCACCATTCCCCACATGCTGCAACAGCGCACCATCGCTCAGTGAAGTTCCTCCACCTGGAAACGATGGCCAGGGTTTGAAATCACCACTTTGTTCTTACACATTCTTCCAGCAACATCTCACTTCGAAAAGCTAATATTCAGTAGCTAGAAATGGCACCTGCAGAAGTGTCCATTTCTTTCTCTTTCATTGACTGGAGCTCGATGGAGGAGTTAAAGAGACTAGGATGCTGTCTAAAATTAAACACTGAACAGGGCTGGAGATGTAGCTCAGAGAGAAGGCTTTGGGTTCAAACCTTAGTACCATTGCCAAAAAAAGGCTGGGAGGTCACTTTCTTTAATGCTGCCTGCCTTCTGACAGTGAATGACTATGTCCTGTGCCATCTGAAATAATGAAGGAGCCTCTATTGTCAAAATAAGAGTAAATTTTAATAAAATACATCAATATTACATTGTATGTTGATTTCAAAACTATTCTCATCAGTCGAATTTTTCTGTAGCAGGAGCCAGCCCAACCTTTTTCTTTGAAGAGAGAGATAGGAAATATTTTGGCCTTTTTAGGACAAATCTCAGTCTTAGCTCCTCAACTCTGTCATTGTAGTATGAAAACCGAATGTGGGTGTATTCCAGTGAAACTTTTACAAAAACAAGTACAAGTTTGAATTCGACCCTTAGGCGGGAGTTTGCAGACCCTGTTTGTATGATAGGCTTGCTTTTTAATGGAAATTATGCAGCTTATCTTTCTTTATTTTTTGTTATGTGAGAGTAGTTTCTCATATATCTTTTATTGTTTATATCTAGCTTGTTACTATAATTTAAGCTAGTTGTGAAAATCAAGATTCGGAGATTTTTAAAGAACTAATCCAGAGTTCAAATCTGCTCCCAGATATGGGAAAAGATGGGAGGGAAGGATTTATACCCGACTGAACACTGTGTGGGTTCACAGAAGACTGTTAAGAGCTCTCAGCTGGAAACTGCTGAAATTCCCTTTGATACTTGGATGGATAAATACAATGTGGCATATGAGATGGAATATATAAACCCATGAGAATAAGGACTTACAGTAACAAATACCAATATAGGTTAATCTCACAAAATTAAAAGAGCAGATACATAGAAGAAGGAATATATATGCTACGATCACATTAATATGAAATATAAAACCAAGAAAACCAGTTTATAGTATTAAAAATGAATTTAGTGGTTTGTGACAATAACTGGAGGGAAGTGTGATTGTTATTCCTCAGTCTGAGTGCTAGTCTCACGCATACATTTAGTTCATAAGATTATTGAGCTATACACTTAGAAGATGTGCTTTTCTTTATACATATGCCTTGATAAAATAAGTTTGAAGGTGGGAAAATCAGAATGAGGGGAAGAACTTTTAAGTGAATTGTCCAATTTCTAAGAGGTATTAAAGTTAGAAAATTGGAAGAAAGTGTCTAAAATTAGAATTTTGTTTACACATTCTGAGGTTCATGAGAATTAGTAATTCTGAGAAATCATAATTGGCTTTCTGGTATTGATTTTGCTCTCATTAAATTATGATGTTAAATGTGGTCATTTCAAAGGACTAAAAGGTATAATATATAATGTGAAATAGGAAGAAAAGGGGCAAAGGGGAAGGGGAAGTGGGAGGGGTAGGGGAAAGGAAAGGGAATGGAATTAATATGAGAAAATGAAAAAATGGAAACAAAGTCTTTGTAAATTGAGAGGGATGGAGGGGTTGAAGGGAGGGCAGGGGAAGGGGGAAAAATAAGAACCAAGAGAAATTACATAAAAGTGCAAATTCCCAGTGATGAATGTCATTGTATACCTAAAATGTACCAATGAAATTAATTAAAAAATGATAATTTCAGTATTTTAGTTGCCACTAAAATGTTAGATTGTAGAGTGGGGTGCAGATCACAGGCAGGTGGTTATGCCAGATATTTATCTATCTTTGTGAAATGCTTGAAATTTGTGAAATTTCACAGAACAAGTAAACATGGCTTTCCAGCTGTAAATTGACAAAATTTATATTGTCAATTCCATAAACTTTAAAAATGAATATCTGATACTTTGCTGATTTTTACATGTCCCTTGAGTATAACCCGATCCTTTTTGTTTATACATGTGTACATGCCATATATATTTATGTATATACAGTGATAATCATGATACATCATCTTCCCTTCCAGACATCAATCTAGTGATTAGAGAAAACAGGCAGTGATTAGAAATTTTGCCAATACTGCATGATAGAAGCACAAAAGAGGCCCAAAAGAGGGAGAAGCCAGTCCTTCTGTGGCTGGGGTGGGGGTGGGGGAACTGTGTCACACAGGAGGTTGCCAATGAGTCTTGGCTAGAAGAATATCTAAGTGTTACTGATGTTCAAATTGAGTCATTTGCCAGATGCATGGAGGAGTGGTGTTAAAGGCAGAGCGAGAGCAGAACAACACATCTTGGCACCATTGGACACCTGCTTGTAGGGTTGAAGCAAAGGATGAACTGTGCAGTGGAAGTGAGGCAGGGCATGCTCCCAAGATCACACTAAGGACTGGCAGCTCTTATAAGGGAGGCACTGGAAGCTACCACACAAGCATGTGGCATTGTCCAGATTGCTTTGCTTTGTTGCAAATGACCTGGCAGTGTGCTGATTGGATTGGAAGACAGGAGGATTTGGAAAAGAGAAATCAATTTATGTATGCAATCTATTTTAACTCAGGTTCAATCATGAACTTGTCAGACTTTATTTTTTGAAAAGATCTTCTTTGGAGTAGCCAATCTAAATAATCGGTATAATAGAAAAGCAAAGAATGATAAGCCTTTACTACCCCCAGGCAAAAGTGTTTTCTTTCCTTGCTTCCCAGAGCCTTTCACTCATAAGTCTTTCCCGTGTGTTTATAATATTTTTAGATCCACATGAGAGTGAAGAGATTTTATGTTTGTATTAAGGAGCAACAAACTTAGTGCCTGATTTATTGTACAGGGACTTCATTTATAAGTCCTTCATGAATCTTCAATACCTACATGCAGAAATTCTGAAACATGCTTTAACTGTCCCTTTATCTTTAATCAATTCACAAATAACTATTAAATGCCTTTTCTGTTTAGTGTTTTTATGAATAGTTTATTTAAACATTAATCTATACACATGTTGATCAGAATCACACAATTTAATCATTATAGAAGAGACTTTCAAAGTCCTAAAGTGTTAGGTGATTATTTATCTGTTATTGTCATTACAGTCTACCTGATCATTTACTTTGGGTCACATCCTCCTCTAATTTGAACCAATTTCTCTAATTTTTAAATTACTAGATAAGGCTTTCTCTTTGTGGAAAGTTTGTAAAAGCATGCCATACTGTAAGTGAAAGATTCCTTTAGCGTTCAGCTTTTCTGATCTTCTCAATAGGAAAGAAAATGGGCTGTGTAGAAATCTGCAATTGCTTTGAGATTTTAGAACATTCTAGCTGTAGTCTTTGGATAAGTTCATCCAGCCTTAAAGCGGTCTGAGGATTTCATGGAATATGCATACCCAAATCTTCACTGAATGGTAATAGTAACTCATTATAGATAGGGTGGCCAAGACTTAGAAATGCTGAATGACCCCTACCCCAAAGAACTGGTGGCAGTCCCAGGACTTGAACTGATCTCTCTGCATTTGCAGCAGTCTTCTTACAGATTAGGGGATGGTGAACAATTTCTGCAGTTTTGTTTTTAATTGGCCTTAGTTATTGGTAGAAGTGGTCAACCAGTTTGCCTCAGAAATTAATTGTAGTCCAACAGATTTTAGTGTCACCCACTTGCTGAGCATAGCAGTTGTGACCCATGCCTTCTTTGCGTCCCATGCCTTCTTTGCGTCTACCAAACCATTCCCGCAATTTTCTTATTCTTTTCTCCCATTCCCCCCTCATTTTTATCCTTTGGTTTGAGCAGGGGCTAGTTCAGTATCTATTCAAAGATTGAACAAAAACAGGGAAAAATGCTTTGCCTGTAGAAACATGGCACAATACTGAGGAAAATATTAAAATTATAGAAGTGGTGAAAAAGAAGACAGACCAATTCATTACGACCAATTGAAAAACAAGCCTTTCTGTAGCTGACTGAATGTATCCAAAACAAAGTAGATGATTGAACAAGAGAAATTGAGTTCTTTTACTCTACATGTAAATCTGCTTGTATGATGGTCATTCTATAGTTATTTTTCTAAATTAATATTTTAGTGTAACATGAGTATTATATATGGAGATGGAATTTTTATTTTCTAAATAAGAACTAAATTACTTAATTTTTAGGCCATATGAAAATAAAACCTATCTTGCTGTTGGAAGTACGAAGACATTGATGTTGAACGTGTCCTTGTTTAATGCGGGAGATGACGCCTATGAAACAACGCTGTACATCAGACTACCCACGGGTCTTTACTTCATTAAGATTTTAGACCTGGTAAGTACTGCAAACCACAGTAGCAAGACACTACTTAGTGACTGACTTAATTTTATTACAATGTTAAGTGGTACCATGGATTTGGGGTATAAGTAATTACAGCATAAGTCTTATTATTTAGACTTGTCACTCAAGCTGCTAGCTACTTTAAAGACTTCCTCTGTGGCCATGATCAGAAAGGAAAGTTCCTTGAGCTCTAAGTCCAAAGGCATCTGCTTCTGGTGCTAGAAGAAGAGAGTTGCTTGGGTGCCGCCACTTTCTAGCTGCCATGCCATGTAAGGTGCCATGACAGTGCCCCTCTTGGTTGGTCCGTTGTGCCAGATGCTTGGAGGTACAGTGCTCGTTTTAAATCGACACTGTACGCCTTCTTCCCGAAGGACTCCCAGTATGTCCAAAGCAGCAGTCCTCCATCGATTCGGAAATCCTGGTGTCCAGCCAGGTCTTATGCAAGCTTTCCTTTTCCCAGAGAATTTAGAGCACTTGGAGGCTTTTTCTTACCACTGTGCCTCATTTGTGGGCAGTGACGCCCACCAGTGAGATAGTAAAAATCTGGAATCCCATAGACAAAAGCTTCCATTGCTTTCTCCTCTGAGAATTCTCTATCACTCAGCAAATCCACCTTATACCCTATCCAAGGTCCACCTCTTTACAATGAGGGCTGTTGAGAGAGGACTTTGACATTGCACAAAGATGTATTCACACATTTCTCTAGAGCACCAGGAGCCTATTTCAAAGGAAAGAGAGGGCTGGGGATTTAGCTCAGTGGTTTTGCCGCCTGCTGTGCAAGCGCAAGGACCCGAGTTTGATCCCCGGTACCAAAAAAATCAAAGAGAAGAGTAGAAACTCCAGGTATTCATGGAATATATTTTTTAAATATAACTATTGTTATTACTCTGATTAAATATCTCACAGGATAGACCTTATGGATTCCTTGCATCCTGATATTTCAAAGAATGAGAAGTCAGGTTAAGGAGGGCGGGCATGTGCCAAAGTGAATAAAAGCCACAAGGCTAGGAATTTTTCAATGGAGATTTTATTTGAATATTATGATAAACATATATGTACATATTTACATGGTTTATTTCTTATTTATCCTTAAACAGAAAATGGTTTCTTAGAAGAGTAAATACTTCTGGGATAACTTTCTTTTCAAAATCATCCCTAAACATATGTTATAAATTTCTTATTCGCTTCCTACCCAAACCAGTTTCATTTTTACTCTTAGGAAGAGAAACAAATAAACTGCGAAGTAACAGACAACTCTGGCACAGTTAAACTCCACTGCACCCTTGGTTACATATATGTAGATTATCTCTCCAGGGTAAGTGCTTAACATTCATGGTTTTTGTTTACTAACAGGAGTATGTTTTTTCCTTTTTCCTCCCTACCTTTATGCTGCATATAAACATGCATGATTTTTTACTGAGAGTGGGAAGTTAAATGATACAGTAAAGGCAAAATGAACTGAGGCTGAAATGTTGGAGCTTTGTGCTTATATTCTTGGCAGTGTTCACTGTTGAGAAAGGAGGTGCACATGCTTATGTCGAGATAGGCGAGTGAATATGTCAATCAGCATTCTGTCCCCCCACGCACCCCTGTCCAGCACCCCCCCCAAGCCACCCCAGGTGGCCCTGTCTGCCAGGAATGTTACCTCTGTTACACAAAAAAGGTGTTTTTGGCAAGAGTCCTCACTCAGATTGTTAAAGCATTTCTAATTTTGTCCGTCTGGACCTGCCTGTCTTTACATTCAGAGGAGGCTTTGTCTCTGAACGGCACTCGTGGAAAAGCTCACACTTTGGAATTGCATTTTACTGCCAAGGAAGGGATAGCTTATGCCTCTAGAATAGTTTCAAGTGTATATTCCATTGAAAATAAACTACAAAGAAAAACTACAATTCAGATTACAAAAAATGTGTCTCAGATTAATTTTTTTAAAGCAGGCCTTTTCTGTTTTCCAGACAGATGTCAGCTTTCTGCTGGATGTGAGCTCACTCCGTAGAGCAGAAGAGGACCTCAACATCATGGTGCTTGCCTCCTGGTATAGTTCATTGTGGAAAACAAATACTAGAAGAACTGCACCCCTGTATTTTGAGGGGGTTCTTTGAGGAACCATGGAACTGTGTTGCATTAATGTCTCCAGAAGAAACCTTTTCTTACCTGGTGTATTTAAAAACCAAAACCCATCTATCTAACATTACAAGTAAACAACAACTTAAATGACAGCAAATTTCTCTCCACTCTGCCCTAAAATATTCCTACTACCACACCTTTTATCCCTACTCCTCCAGAAGTATTCATTAAACCAAGCTCTGAGAATTTTTAGGTATATATACATAGAATGAAATTACTTTCCCTAAAGATGATTTTGTGCTTAATAGATGCTAACAGGGTACACTCTGTTTCTGTAGTGCAAATGAAGGAGAAATGGACAAGCTACAGGACAACAAAGTGATAGTAGCAATACCTCTGAGATACGAGGTTATGCTAGCAGTTCATGGGTAAGTAGATTTGGAGGCTTCTAAAATTTAGAGTTGATTTTCAGTTCCTTTGCTGCTGCTTCTGTTAACAAGAATCATATTTAAATATTAAAAAATTAGAAGGATGTTCCATCTCTTAGCAGTTAGCTCAGTGCTACAATTCCGTACTTAGCTGTTCATTATTTTAATCCACTCTCTAATCATCACTGATACCACATCTAACTCATGCCCAGCTGGTGGAGATTGCTTACTGGAAGAGCCCCAGGAAGCTCTAATAGGGTACAGTGAGCCTTTACTTGTTCACTGTAGTCTAGGGGTGCCTGGTGTTACTTAGTGTGCAGTTTGCACCATGACATCCCTGGTGAATGTGAAGTGCAAAGAACTATGAGCTTGGCCAAAGTGCCCCTCCTCAGAACCCACAGCTACCTGTGTGGCAAGTGAACGGAGACATGAGAGAGCTGGCCACACAGTGTCCCTGCCATTCTGTAAATCGCTGGAATCGTGGAGTTCTGTAATCACAGCCCTCATGCCAGCCTTCATTGCGTCTCCATGATTTTAGTAATTGCTGAGTGGATTTTCTTCTGATTTAAGATGTACGGAGAAAGAGTGAAAGGATTTAAGTCTCATGATTTTACTGGCAATTATTCAGCCTACTAGTCTTTGTTTAAAACTGTAGTTTTTAAAGCATTATAAGACAAATGAGCTTTTCTTGTTGCCCTAAATATAAGCAATCATTATAAGTACTCATAAGGATGGCATACAATTGTAGTACATAAACATAAAATGTCTGTATCTAAAATGGATTGAATTGTCAAGGTTGAGATCAAACAGACTAAAGAGGCCATTCACAGGAAAGACATCAGTGGATAAGCAAATAAAAGGTGACTGCATGTTTCGTGGCTTGAGTATTTATATCATCTCTCATTCTTTGACTTTCCTAGGATGAGTACTCTGTTTCTCCAATCTCATTACTTTGGGCAAGGAATGTCCTACAACTATTAAACTACAAAAGACTATATACACCTTTGATTATTTCTGATTTCTTTGCTGTTTAATGGGTCCCTGCAATAAGACATAACCTAATATTAGCTGCCAAAAATGAACAGTTTGTGGAATAGGACTTCCCTAATGCATTTCCAGTGTTCACTGTTGACTATACATGTGTCAAATCAGGTGACAAAGAGTGCCAATCTTCTTTCCAACAAAAAATTGATGGTACCTGTCAGTGTTTGACTTGTCCCTCAGACTTGGGATTCATTATAAATAGCAAGAACTGGGAGTAAAAAAATAACTGAAAAATAGTTTAGATTTAGGTATAAGAGCCCTAAGGGAAAGCTAAGGATATAGCTCATAGCTGCAAAATATGAATGAATCATTTAAGTGCTGAAATGGTCAGCAGAATGAAGCAGGCAGGCTTGGGAAGGTTAAAAAAAAATTGGTAAGAATAAAACATTGTCACTCAATTCAAAGCACATGGCCTCTTAACTTTCCTACATGGTCAAATAAAGCAGGAAAAGAACCCACAAGTATCCTGTGTACCCCTTAGATATGCTGTAAGGAGTATACAGAGAAAGATTGTAATACTCTTTCAGAGAGGACAGGTTCATTTGAATTTTTTTATATCAGGTTTGTGAATCCAGCTTCATTCGTGTATGGATCAAGTGAGGACAATGAACCCGAAACATGCATGACTGAGAAAATGAATTTCACTTTCCATGTAAGAAAAGTTGATTGTGCCTGTCCTGTGGGAACTGGAAGCATGTTACTGATGCATCACTCCCATCCCTCGGAAGTCCCCTGGCCCCAGAGACCATGGCATGCTGCAGGGGCTGCTGTGCTGGGACTCGGGCCCTTTCCTCTCAGGCTATGGCTTTCCTCCCGTTTGTCTTTATTTTTAAAATTTTTATTAGAACATGTTTGCATGAGAGTGATTACATTCATCATAGGGAATTGGTACATAGACATAACGCATCTTAATTCTTTTTACTTCCCTTTCTCCTCCCTTCCCTACTTCCTCCATCTGTTGGTCCCCTTCCCATTTGGAAAAGAGCTGTCAAGCCCACATGGCCTAATAGGACAGTTAACACACTAACGGAGGTCATGCCTGCAGCAGGCAGTTATGGAGTGAGCTGACCCCTGGGAGATGCGTGCATGGGAGGACAGCCCCAGGGGAGACATCAGTGGGTCTCTTCTTGGTTCAAGCTTTACGACAGCCCTAACGTTACCAAGTACAGGAAGCTCATACCTTCCCTCTCTCCACAGCCTTATGGCCTGTGACACGCACTTTATCAGTTAGTGAATAATCTTTTACAAAAGTAAAGCATGCCATCGTGATCTGGAAATATTAATATATTGCTATAAAATTATAAAAATGCTACTGTCAAACTGAAAATTCTGGTTGTGTCGTAGATGAGTAAATGAGACAATGTCGCCAAATGTTTTTGAATCGCAAGCACTGTTCGGCCATTTTTATATAACAATCCATAGGCTGTGAGTCTTGCAGCAAGTACAGTATATTCTATTTTCCAAGATGATGCTTTTCAAAATGAGTTATTAGAATCACTTGTGACACCTATACAAAATGCAGATTTCTGGGCCTGCCTCGGATCTGTTGAAAAGAATGACATTGAAATCTCATCAGTTCTATGTCTCAAGTTTTTGTTATGCTCATGTCTGATAATGCTGAAACAGTTTAGTCCGCTTGGAAGTCCCACGAAATGCTTGTTAGAACCCAGTGGAAGATTGGGCTTTGATAAATTAAAACGCAGTAAGCTGGACTCTAGAAATCCTATTTATTAACTTACCACTGTTAAATGCTTTCTAATTAATGTGTGATAGAGTGACATAGGCTGGACAGATGTGCGGCTGTTGGAGGTCTGACTGGCATGAGGTGAACAGGGATGAAGTGCAATGGCAGTGTAGACCCATCACTGCCTGGCACTGAGAAGACCTTTTTGGTAACCTTGAGCAGTGCTGGGTACCCACTGTTGGCCTTTCCTTCTGCAAGTGCTCTGTGCTGTGAGTTAGCACCCATCCCAACTAGAGGGACAGTCTCTCCATCTGTTTCCCATGATCCAAAAGATGACTGAAGGTCTGTGAGTCACCCTTTTTTCACCCAGGCATTGTTGCAAACTTTTCTGACTTACTGAATTGGTTTTATAATTAAGCTCTCAGTAGGCAACATTTTAGCCCAGCCTCCTCTCTCAGGGATCTGTAACCCCCAAATTTAGCAACAGGCATGAAATATCCTTTTATGCATTTTTATTAAGAATCTGTTGGTCTTTGTGGAAACCCAATAACATACTTCACCCATTTTCTAAATACATACCCTGAAGAAAAGCACATTTTAAAATACATTTTTATTCACTTACAGCTGATTATCCTCTCAGCATGGAGTGATTTTGTGAAAATATAATAGGATTTAGAAACATAGTACCAAGGATTCTTGTCACTTTTTAAACTTGCATCATTGGACCGTCATGAACACCTCTGAGTGTTTTCCACAGTTGCCAACTGACAAATGTTCACCCACCTCCTGGGATATGAGACCAAGTGACCATGCTTTTAAAGTGCATAATGTAGCATGCAAATGTGTGTTTTATGTCTCTTTCTGAAGCCAGGACTTGTGGCTGAAATAAAATGCTAAAATGAGAAGTCTAAAAACAATGGATTTTCTGACTGTAGATACCCTCTCTCCCATTGCTATGTCACTGCCAGCAACAAACTCCCACCGCTGGATATGTTGCCTAGGTCACCCAGAACCTCACTGATCTCTGTATTTATATTATGAAGAGCATTTTAAAATTGTTTAATATTTTTTCCTTATCAGGTTATCAACATGGGCATTAGCATGGCTCCAAATGTTAGTGTGGAAATCATGATACCAAATTCTTTTCTTCCCCGAACTGATAAACTCTTCAACATTTTGGATGTCCAGGTAAAAATGAGTTGTTTCTATCTGATGTATCTTTGGTGAGTCTTAAATACTAAAACGCAATCTGATTCCTTATTCTAAGGAGTATTGCTAAGTGATTTCTGTGCACTTATTTCAGTATCATTCAAAACTATGAATTCACAATGCATTAATATTTGAATATTATGCCTTGCTTTAGAAGTGTAGAGTAACAGTGGAACCTCTTCATTTGACATACAAATAATAAAACTATCTGTATTAAGACATATTTTGTGATATGGATTTTCTTTGTGAAATAATTTAGTTGGTGGAATTCTCCATAAAGCTCAAAGCTGCTGTTGAAAGATCAAGAATAGGGCATTTTAGGGCCAGGGATTTAGCTCAGTGGTTATGCCGTTTGCCCCGCAAGCGCAAGGAACCAAGTTCGAATCCCCAGGACAAAAAAATAAAATAAAATAGGGCATTTTAAAGAAATATTCAAACAACTTATGAATTCAATTTTCTCTTGTTGATCCATCAGAATTCTTTTTACCTCTAGGTATTAAGAAAGTATTCACCAAATAAAATATACTTAAGTAGGTTTGAGAGATACATTTTTAAAATCTTACTTGAATTCCAGATTTAGATAGGACATGCAATTATTTTGTTTTGCACATAAAGCCAATGAAATGTTTAATTTCAGGCTAATGCTCAAATGTCATTCTCCTCATCTCTCATTCTGTAAGGTTAAAGCCATTCTGTCAGCGTAGCTCCTGTGTCCAACCCTTGACAATTTTGCTGGGGTTTTGTTCATGTTTTGCCACAGAGATTTAATCTCTCCTAAATAATTGTCAAGATTTTCACAATTTCCTAACAACTTGGTACATTTTAGAAAACATAATTAGAACTTTTTATACCATGCTGTGTTTGTCCTTCCCAAGGTTGAAAGGTAACCTTTTTCTTGATTTCTGCTTTTATAGACGACTACTGGACAATGCAAGTTTGAAAATTATCCAAGAGAATGCGCAACAGAGCAGCAGAGGTATGCTGTGGAGACTTTGAAAGGCATCCTCACATTCTTGTCAAAAACCGATAGGAGGGTATTGGTAAGTTTCAGTTTATCACATATTGTAGTTTTTGCTAACAAAGGCATGAAACACTGGGCTCGAGCTGCCAGCTGAGTGGTGTGAGAGAACCCAAGATTAGGCAAAATCCTTGCATGTAAGGGATAAGCACGATTGGAGGAGTGGGAAAGACCCAGAATTAATTATAGATTACAGTTTCATTATTTAACACATGCCCATGTTTGCCAGACAGATTCTGTCCCAGTTCCCTTCAGAACACTGTCACCTGGACAGTCTCATTTATTCATTCTCTTCATCTAAGTGAGTTTGGGAATGGAAACTAGGGAAGCAATCATCACCATCAAATTATCCAGCTTTTACAGCAAGCGTAGAACATGTATCCTAGCAAGACTGTTTTGTCCCAAAAAGCTGAGTTAATAAGAATGGCAAGAACACATGCTCCCCTTTGAATGCTGTTTGTTATAATTTACAAAACAAATACGTGTGTTTTATTTAAAGCAAGATAATTTTTAAATAACTAAGGAAAGCAGATGTTTAATGGCATGTTTACAGAAAGACGTTACTAAATGCCATAGAAGATTTAATTTTTATAAAGAAATTTTTAGAAATGTAAATGTTGGAAATTTTAATGTAGTACTTTTATACTCTTTTCAAGTATTGCATGAAAGCAGACCCGTACTGCTTAAGTTTCTTATGCAATTTTGGGAAAATGGAAAGTGGAAAAGAAGCCAGTGTTCATATTCAGTTAGAAGGCCGGCCATCCATTCTGGAAATGGTAAGTCTGAAACACATTGACAACTTCATAGATACATTCATAAAAAAATCGAAGTTCAGACTTACTTAGGTTGCATGGCATGGCATGACGGTATTTGATAAATTAAGGTCTAAATAAAATTTAAAATTGATTTCTATTTATCACTTTAGCTCTCTAAAGACTATGGTATAATGAAGAATTTTAGATTGGGAAGCATGCCCAACTGTTTCTGAACTTTAAATCAAAGAAGTTGGCTATCTTAACATTTTGTATAAGCTTAAAAATTCTTTTCACACTGCTTCCAATTATCCTTTGAAACCTTTTAAAAATAGAGCTATATAGAAAGATTAAGGCTTTCATAAAATCCAACTAAACCATAAAATACATCAACAATAGCAAAACAGTGACAAAAATATAAAAGTAATGAAATTTAAAGGGTTGAATTTAAAAATAAATACTTACTGAACTAATTTTTATGAAGCATATTTGAGATAAACTATTTTATCTGAAGTCCTGTTTTACAGTTTCCTCATCTGCTCAATATGGGTAATATCAGAGTGGTGTTAAAGATTAATTCATGGCAGCTGTTGAGTGGATTTTTTTCTTTTTGCAGCAGTGCTGGAGATTGAACCCAGAGCTTTCACACTGAGCTACATCCCCAGCCATTTACGTATTTTTAAATTTTGAGTCAAAGTCTCATTGAGTTGCCCAAAAGAGAGAGGTTTTAGTTTCAACTGTGCTGAAAATTCTTGGGACCTCAAGAAAGACATTTAACGTTTCGCAAGTTGCCATCTAACATTCCCCGGGGTTCTCAACAGGGAACACTGCTGGTGTTTGGGGGCAGATAATCCTTTGCTGTCAGGGGCTGTCCTGTGCCTTGTATGCTATTTAGCAACATTATCAGCTGCTACACACTAGAAACTGGTTGTACTACAGCCCACATCCTGACAAAGACCTCCAGATACTGCTCTAAATTTAGACAAAGATTATAATTTATTTCCGGCTCTAAAATGTCAAATAATCTTTACACAGTAGTTTTTAACTCTTAAGGCTCACACACGTAAGAATCTGACCAAGTCTCATCCTAGCATACACACACAAGAAAACACTGTACCTCTGTAAACCTTACACACAGATCCCCAAGTTCCTTGCTATAGGTGGTGAAGTTCTGAGTTCATCCACTGATCCACATTCTATTACAATTTGTACCAGATTTTTAAAAAAAGAAACTTAAGGGAGGAAATGTTTATCAGGTGAAAAACCTCTTGTTTGGGGATAAAAATGTAACATCCCGAAGGAAATTACATTGTTACTAGTAACTTATCTTATTATAGTCCAACAAATAATATTTAAATCAAGTTACCTGCAACATAGTTAAGCTCGATGCCATATAAACTTATACTAAGACCACACCTTTGTGAACCATGGTAAACATTGCATTTCAGTCAATAGAGGAAGACAAACTGCAGAAACATCTAGAAAGTACATAAAAGTCGTAAGGAGTCATTTCTATTAATATGTCTTCATGAAATAAACTGTGACGAAGGCAATAATCTTTTGTTTCTTCAAACAGGATGACACATCGGCACTCAAGTTTGAAATAAGAGCAACAGCTTTTCCAGAGCCACATCCCAGAGTTATCGAACTAAACAAGGATGAGAATGCAGCACATGTAAGATGAGCTTTGTCACTAGTCCACTAAAACCATAAGGAAGCCTACTATGCAAGTGTTTATAATTGCTTCCTTTTGCGTACCTGAATCAGAAAATTAATGTGTAACCAGACTATAAAGGACCTTGATAACTTCACTAAGGTGCCATTTTCTACACTGGCAGGAGGGAAAGATGGGTTTTTAGGGAGGTGAATTTGGTAGCAGTGAGAATGGGAGGAAGGGAAGGGTCATGGAGAAAGCTCTGGCCACTCACTGAGTTCCACAGTTACCATTGTGTCCTATGGTTGTGTTAAACCAGCAAGAGAATGGGGTGGGTATTTCTAATTTTATGGGGGTTTGGGAAGGGTTTGAAACGGAATGGAAGTTTCTAAACTGTTTATTTTGCTTAATTTTTCATGCAGGTTCTACTGGAAGGATTACATCATCAAAAACCCAAACGTCATTTCACCATAGTGATTATTTCAAGTAGCTTGCTACTTGGATTTGTTGTGCTTTTTTTGATTTCATGTGTTATGTGGAAGGTAAGCCTTTAATAATTACCAAATGTAGTGTTGCAGTTCAATCTACTGAAAATACCGTTATTTTCTCAGAGCCAATTTGTGGTTACAGGTTATTAAAGTATGTTAACTATATTTCTAAGTGAATATCTAGTACTGATTGGTATTGAAGTTAGAAGAAATATGCAAAGTCTTTCTAGAAAAAGTTTATTTTCAACAAATAATCAAGCTATACCACTAGCTTTGAAAGATGATCTTTTAAAAAACCATTTAGAAAACACTGCATAGTATGTTGAATGCCAATTTTGGGAGGAGAAGGTGTATCAACAACAAAATGCTGCATTAGCCCAGTACATCCCGAACTAATTTTTACTGACTACATTGAGTAAAGCCCTCATAATTTTTATTTCATGAGACATTAAGAAATATTGGCATAGACTGTTTGGATAGTTAATGTGAATGTAGTATGTTTTTAGCTATGCATTAGTTATTATATAATTCTATTTTTAGGCTGGCTTCTTTAAAAGACAATACAAATCTATCCTACAAGAAGAAAATAGAGATAGTTGGAGTTATGTCAACAGCAAAAGCAATGATAATGATGATTGAAGACTTCTTTCATATTGAGAGAACTGAAAACAGACTCAGGTTAGACTAAAAACACTGTTTACGGGAAAACAAATTTTTCTCAGACTTTTTGTGTATTTCTTTGTGTTACTGAGGTAAAAATTCAAGACATGACTGTTCTTCCAAAGAAAATAACTGCAAAGCTGTAATAATACGGCCAAAGATGCTCTTGCAAGTATTAAATGGGTAGAGGAACACTACAGCCTTCGACTTATCCAAGAACAGTAAACCCTGATAGATACCTTGAAATGAAAATATATCTGAATTAAATATTGGAGCTGGAAAATAAGCATTGATTCATTTCAAATACATCTTTGAGGCTTATTTGAAAAATGTTCTTGAAAATCATTTCGTGGAATTTTCAAAGGGCTGTTTCCATAAGACTTATTTGTAACACATTTCCTGTGGACTTTACTCCAGCAACTATTTCATTCAATAGACTATGAATATCATAGGCCCGATGTACAAATTTCATACTCATAATACACTGGTTTAATAGGAAGACTTCTAGATAAGTACAGAGCTATATGCTTTTTCTTTTTTTTTTATAGAATATATGTTACTACAGGTATAAATCTGATAGTCTCCTACAATACACATTTATCAAGAGTACCTAGGGGTCAATTAAAAATTCCCTGAAATGTTTTGCTTATAAAAAATTAAGTATTCTAATTTATATTCTAAAACAACAGAGTGTAAATATTGCACTTTTGCTACTATACACTGATGTCTTTAAGAAATAGGAAAACTAGACCTCAGTGATTTTAAAAAGCTGTGCGCAGAATGATTAGGGGCCAATATTTCAGACATTCTGGGTCCTGCATAAAATACCTTCCTAAATTAAGCAAATACATGTTTTACTCGGATCTATAAACACATGCTCCACACATTTTTCAGACAATTGAAATATACGCATTTTGACTATATACAGCTACTATAAAAGCGACATCAAAATTTCTGAGATATATTTTTAAGATTAATATTATAGAAGGGTTATATTTTAAAATGAAATAGCTTCTTGCTGGATTTTAAATATCTTTAAATGCATTTTCAAATACAATCATTTTGTAATATTTATTTCATGTAGATCTCTTTGTATGTGTAAGAAAACTGTGGCCAAATTTTGAACATCTGTTACAGGAAGTGATCAAATAGATAAATAAGAGAGCAGTCTCTATTGTTAGAGAAAATATTGCTTTACTTAAAGTCTCTGCTGCCAGCTGCCTACCTCTTCAGATATCCTGACTCGTGAAAGTTATCCATCCCTAAGCCTCTGGTCAGTGAGCAGTGGTAAGAGACTGAGGAATGTACAGAGATTTCTGAAGGCATCTGCATGCAAAGCCTCTTTAACTGAGAGTGTACATGGTAAACTTAGTTTTGCTTGTACCTATTTGAAATAACTCACATTTGTGCAAAGATATATTTTTATGCTTTTACTATAAAAATGTAGATTTTTTAGAATGTCTAGGCTCATTTGTCAAAAATCAAGCACAGATTTAGAGGACTGTTATCTCTGAAGAAACTAAAATTTGGTTGTTTACACTGAAAGCCAAGTGCTATCATTGCCTTTCTAGTACAAGAAAGACAGTTACCTGGTGAGCTAATAAGTTTTATCCAGTTAAGTATCTTACATATATAGTTCTAAAGAAAATTTGTTATAAACTCCACCTGTGTGATGAGTTTTAAACCCTATGTATTACAAAGATTTTTGTAAAAGTTCTGTTTTTGGTTATGTCACCGACTACTTGTATGATTTTGTAACTCCTGTGGACTAGTTACCTCATCAATGTGGTCCTAAGAAATCTCTATGCTCTGTTTGTACCAGCCTATAGGAAATTTGACATCAGACTTGATGGGCTTAAATCCTAGAAAATAAAAGAACTCAAATGATTTTGCTTTGGAATTACTTTGGTTAAATAGAGATATATCCTGATAATAGCTAAGGGTATGAAATGTTTACTTTCACTTCCAATAAACACCTTCTAAAAACTAGAATTTAAAATGTTTACATTTCTAAATCCTGATTTTCAAAGCCCTGGCACCTACTTTTTAGTAGTACCAAAAATACCAACTTTAATTTCTTTCAAAAATGCATTTTCTATTAGAATATCTGTTTAAATCATGACCAAGTCCATCCATATTAAAATGCTAGTTTACATATTTCTTTTATAAACAACTGCAGGTTACTTTGGGATCATTCACTTCTTCTATGCTTCCACCATAAAAACTGATAAGTCCTGGGTGTAATCTGAAAAAAATAATATATATATAATTTATTATTTCATAAACCTCTCATTCTGTTATTTTTCACATACAGCAGTAAGGTACGTGGTGCCACATACAGGTACATAACCAACAAATTTATTCATGGCAGAGCTGCAAATGAGGGGGAGAAATAGCAACAGTAATTATTCCAAAGCCTCCTTAACTGACTTCCTTGACAAATGCTTTTCATTACCTCTATAGAAGGGTCAGTTGTTCCTGTAGAACACGAACACCTAGTGAGTGCCCTGCACACTTTTTCTTTGTCGTCATGCTTCTCACGAATGAATGACTTTGCATGTGCCTAAACCCGTTTCTACGGGTTTGTGCTTGTTAGTGTATAAAGTATGTTGAATGCCTTTTGAAGATTTGATAAAAGCAAACTGCTGAACATGAAGTGTGCTGATATTAGAAACTTGCGAGAGGAAACCAAGAAGACTAACACTCTTCTTTCTACTCATAGGGCTTCACAGTGACTTAATGGATCTTAATCCATTTTTTAAAATCCAAAATGGAAAATGTGGCCCCATATCTGTATAGTTTATGCAAAATGATAATTTGGAATGCCCGTGTTGAGACTCAGACTCAAAAAAAAATGACTTTGTTCTACATAAGAGTTGGTAAATGTAAAGTTATAATTTTCTACTCATTGAAAGTTGCATATATATGTCTTTTTATGCTTCTCCAATTAGCTGTTTTTCAATTTACCAACTACCTCCTTGGACTGAGAGAAGTGGGCTTTCACTGAATTGCTAGGGTTGTGTCTACTGGTCAACATGAAGCAGTGAATAATTAGGCTTACCTAACATGGACCTCTGATGCAACTTCCATTAAGTCACCATCCACATTCCAAGGGAAAGCAGTTTCCTGAGGTCCATCCTCCTCCTCTGGATTGTATCCAACTGTACTTCTTGGATGAACTTTTACTTCTTCAACATTGTAAGTCTCAATGAATGGAAAATTAAACTAAATAAAACAAAGGCAAATAATCATGATGCTTGCTTTATCTCTAACTGGGATTGTAAATCAAGGAGGTCATAGTGTCCCCTCTCACAAGTAGATGTCATCGTGCATGTTTGTGTTTTTGACAGCTTTGAAACTATAATCCGGAATCTTCACTTTTTTTGATGTCATCTCTTTCCTGAAGCTTTCCTGGCTCAATTAGTATCTTGGAGGAAAATTAGTTCATGTCAGTAATTGTACATAATGATATTGTACTATTTCCAATTAAAATACTGATCTGTTAACACTGAAGAATCCATAGATTCCTTAATAACTTGTCAATTAGTTCAGCTGATGTGAAGGAAACTCTAGCATACTTTCACATTTGGAATTTGGGGAGAACTAAGCTCTAAACTTATGAAGGTGAAATGTGAAGTATATTTTTTCTTAAAAGAGAAAGCCAATCAAATATGATTTTCATGAATGTTTCTCTGCCTCTTCCCCACTTTAAGAATAATTGCAAGGAAATTGTATTTGCTTACTGATCATTCAAAAATGCTGCAAGGTAAATTTAAGCTTGCAATTTTTCTTGTGTGACTAGGAAAATTATAAGGAAAAACTACTGTATAGCCTCTGAAATAATTAAGAAAAAAATCCCACTTCCACATATAAACAAAACCAGATTTTAAAAGTTGATAGAAAATACATAAATAGAAACCTAGTCCAGCAGATGTTAGTTTATACTGTCTAATAAACTGAGTTACACAGTGGATTATATGGTGGCCTCAGCTGTTTTCACTGAGGCTCAGTCTCAAGGTTCCTGGTGGCTCTCTCTCAAACTGTTTGACAGTCACCACACTAGACCTCCTGCTTCAGGTGTAAACCCTTAGGGACATGCCTCATATGTGCAGAAATTTCTGTGTAATCATTCATTTTAAGTGAATCAATAATTGGCTGTTACAGTTTAAATTATGTTCCTCCACAATAAAAAAAAAAAATAGTTCTAACCCCCGGCCCCTGTGAATGTCATTAAATTTGGAAGTGGGGTCTTCACAGATGTAATCAAGATGAGGTCAAAAGTACGTGGTCTTAACTCAGTATGACTGATAGAAGAGAGAAGGAATGGGATGCCAGACTCCGGGATTGCAGTGATGAAGCTGTAAGCCAAGCAGTGCCCAGAACTGATAGCCACCATCAGTGAGTCTCAAATCATCAGTTTTCATGCACCCAAAGCACAAAGTGAAGCTCCAGCCATCCATTCAAATTTATTAACTATGAAGTCACAGCCTTAAATGGGACTCAGGAAGCCAACAGCTTAGTATCATGTGTAAGGGTTTTGGAAGGAGTGGGTGGATAAGAGAAGCCAACAGTTACAGTGTGATGGAGAGGCATGTCGTGATTAAGCAGTCAAGGAGTTCAATGAGGGAATCAAGGAGTTCAATGAGGGAAGCAAGAAGAAAGGACAGGACCATTAAGCTTAGGATGTTGGGAAAGCTTCCAATTTGAGAGTCTTAAAGAGCACAGAAAAGGAAAGAGAAGGAAAGGCACTCTGGAGAGGAACAAAACATTTACAAAGGAATGGGAACATCATGGTGTGGCAACCACAAAAATATTCGGTGTAACTGTCATGGGCTGAACCGTGTCACCCACCAAAGAATTTCTACATTGAAATTGTACCCCACCCTCATATCTCAGAACAAAACTACTCTTTAAAATCATTAAGTTAAACCTAGACCTGGACAGTGGGCCTCCACCCAATGTGATTGGTGTCCTTATAGAACACGAAACTTGGATGTTCAGAAAGACACCACTGAGGGAAGACTACATGACAGGAGGAGGAAGCCATATGCAAGCTGCAGAGTGGCCTCACAGGAAACTGGACCTGCTGACACCTTCTTGAATGGCTACCTCCAAACTATGAAAATATACTTGTTTTTTTTGTTTAAGGCACCTATTCTGTATGTTATGGCAGCAGTCCTAGGAAACTAATACAGTGACCAAAGCACAGGCACTCTGATGGGATGGATGGTTCAGGAGATAGGGCTGTGACATAACCAGGGGCCAGAACACAAAGGGCTTGAGTTACATGCTAAGGGCTTGAGATTACTCTGAGGACAATGAGAAAGGCACTGAAGAATGAAGAGAAATCAGAGGGGTTTCAGAAAATTCCCTCTAAAAGGAAATACAGAAGACTAGCAGGTGTCAGTCACGTTAAGACTGTGTATTTCCAGTATACACCATTATGTAGGACATCTTAGAATGTCTTTGTAAAAAATTATAGAGCAATAGCATGAACTTTAATTTTTTGAAGTAGCCAAGTCATTCAGAGTTAAGTCTAATGAAACACCTAGATATGCAGAAAATAATTTATTTAGTATTTATGAGACAAGGTTTCACTACATAGTCCAGGCTGGGCTTTGAGCTTACAATCTCCTACCTCAGTTCTCTGAATGCTGGGATTAAAGACCTGTGGCACCATTCCCAGCTTACAGGCAAAAATTTTCTTGTATCAAAAGCAGCTAGGTGTGATGGCCCATGCCTGTGATCCCAGTACACTGGAGGCTGAAGCAGGAGGATCACCAAGTTTGAACCCAGCCAAGGCAACTTAGAAAACTGTGCAAGAATTTGTCTCAAAATAATTATTTTATGAAGAAGGGCTCAGGATGTAGCTTGGTGCAAAAACAACAACAACAACAAAAAACCCAGCAAAATATGAATAACAGAATATGCTGTAAAAATAGGTAAATACAATTTGAATAACATGGTCTCCTTTTAAAAAAATTCCTATGTAAACTTTCATTATGTATGCTTTTTGTTTTACTTTTTTTTTGTACCAGGGATTGAACTCGGGACCTTCCGCTTGCGAGGCAGGAAACACTGAGCTAAATCCCCAGCTCTGTTTTACTTTTACGATAAGCACTGGTTTTGAAATCAGAAGATATTTTCTTGAAGAAAGTCTGTACAAATTGCCAATTGCCTTAGAAACTGACCCCATGAGGCAATTCCAGATGAGAACTTCTCTAAACAGTTTGTGTTTACATGCATCCCTTAAATAAATATAGAGCCTCTCTATATTTAGATTTTTATATTGTTTTGATGTCTTTTCTGACTTAAAAACAATGAACAGGCACTGCTTTTTGATTAAGAAAAAATATTTTTTTCATAAGAAGTGAAAAGATTTTAATATCTAAAATACTGTATTTTATGCTTTTGTTAGATGAAAATTATTCGATTTAACATGTCATTTTAAAAATTCATCTTAATGTACAACAAAACAAGTTAAGATATACCTCAGATAAGTATAACAGTGGCAGTTCTTGATAATACTGGTCCTTAAAAGGAAAAATAAAATATTTGGCTTATATAATCAAAACAATTAGATGGATTAAACAACAATGAATAACTTATAAAAGAATTCATTGTAATTCTTGTGTTGCATGTTATACCATGTGTGTTTTAAGTTTATTGAATTCATACATATAGACTTTTAAAATAACTCAATCATTTGTTATTTACTTTGTTCATTACTATCTAAACTGTTAGAAGTCAAAAGGTAGGGGCAGCTGTTTTGAATATTTGAGATTCTAAAAGCTTTCTTCTTTAAGAACAAAGTTATTTAAAATTTTTCCTAATATAGCCATCCTTTGGTATCTGTGGAAGACTGGTTACTGGAGTAAGTGGTAATAAAATCTGCAAATGCTCAAGTTCTTTATACAAATTGGCATAATATCTGCATATAACCTTTGCACATCCTCCTGTATATGTTAAAATCAACTCTGAATTATTTTTAACACCTAATACAATGTAAATACTATACCAATAGTTGTTTTACTGTACTGTTTAAGGAATAATGACAAAAAAAAACAGTTTGTATATGTTCACTACAGATTTACAAGGATAAAGCAGTATAATGATATTTTGATATAACCGAGCATCTTCATAGGAACAAATCAATTATAACCTGTGGATTTTTTTGATATCGAGTTAGCCACTATATGTTATTTTAAAATAAATTATAAATGCATACTTACTAATATTTTATAACATACCATATTTTATTAAGTTTTGTTGGAGAAATGTTTACAAGAAAAAATTATTTTTAGAATTTAAAAATGTAATGAAATCTGAAAAGGCACATATGCCTTTGAAAAAAGTCAATAAATTTACATATTTCCCCAAACATATAAAATCATTGCTTAGGCTCACAACCTACAGTGTATTCATCTACTTGGCCTTCTTAGATTTATATTTAAGGAAACTGACCTTATCTAGCTTTTGTGAGTTAACTTAAATAGTCCAGTTGGACTTCGTGTTGATCAATATGGGAGACAGAACAAAACTCAAACATCCTGAGAGCTGGCTTAGTTCGTTTGAAATTATGAGCCAAGTAGGAGTCTTGCAGTGGTTAAAGTATATAAGCAAGATTTGCTGGCCAATCATTGGCTGGGTTTACTGCCCCACCACATCTGTTCTTTTCCAACTATATCCAAGCACCATTTTATACGCTGAAGAATGTGTGAAACTATTGGATTCTATAACCACACATTTGTGCTTCAACACTAATAACTAAGTCAGAAGAATATCTGCCAAAAGAAAATGGCTTGTCTTTTTTTGTTAAGCTAATCACAGGGTGGAAGTATATATCTCTATTCATTATACTTTTAAATAAAATAGAGGTGTTTTTAAAACACATCTGCAAATCTGTTGTAATCAGTGAACACAGGCAGATGTATAAAGTGTCAGATCATAACTTTAGAGTCTGTCTACATAAATTCAAGAAAACAAAAATCTCAACAGCCTGTGTATGTAATTATATCCTTAATTTGCTTCAAATTTCAGTATAAAACTACACTGTCTAGTTTAATTTGTGCAAAAAAATGTACAAACTATCTCAAAAGAGCCCAATCTACATTAGTATTGGTAGATGCTTTTTAAAATCTAGATAAAGATTGAAAAAAAAAGCAATATATTCAGAAGAAAAGGAAGCTTATGAGGCAAGACTTGTCAACTCCAGCAGCCTTCTCCTCCCCATGATTAATAGCTTTGCAAATAGCAAAATAATGTACTACACCTGATTCTTCACACCGGCATATCTTTTCAGGTGTTTTATAAATTCTGACCGAGAAGTGTTCCGTACGATTATGAGATCCATACTTCCATTATTTAATCTGAAATTATACATTTGTATTTTAAGTTTTATGAGAGATTATATCACAGATCACTCTATATTATTTCTTATAACAAGCATACTGTTTACTAGAAGTATGAGGCAAGACAGGAAAATCGTCACAATATCAAATTTGCCTAATATTCTTAAATGTATCTTGCCGTATTGTTATTTAAATGATGTAACCTTTCAAATTAGTTCCACTGAAACATGAGCTTCCTTAGCAAAAGCTTACATCAGAGCTCTTTAAAAAATGAACCATCATGCATCCTACTCATACATCAAGACATAATTTAAATTCCACTGTAATTAAGAATTTGAACATTAAATTATATGTGGCTTTTAAAGCTGTATTATAAAATAGTTCATATGTACAAGTCGTATAACATACAGCTCAACATTTTCTAATATCTAAAATGTGATTTAAACATTTATTTATGGGCAGAAGGTCTAAGTGACATAGGAAGCAAAATCAATCAGAGTGGCCCTGGGTGGATGAAATGGTGTGAACAACTACTGCCACACATGTTCAGTTCAACACCTGAGCATTTTAATCCTGCATAACTATTCTATCCAGTATGAGAGACCAGAAATTCAGAGGTGTGAGTTTGTGTCTGAACAGCCACTGGCAAATGCATTAACTTTAGAAAGCAGTTTGCAGAAATACATGCAAATGACTTCAAGCTTGATTTCAGTGCACATCTGAAGTTATCCTAAGAATAAAGATGACAGAGGAAAAAAAAGAGCTCCACAAGTCTTATGGAAGCTCAGGTTAGCGCTGAAAGGTCTGTCGGAGATTACATATTTTATGAGAAGGAAGAGACCACCCCAAGAGTAAGTGATTTGCTCAAAGGCACACAGAGGAAAACAAAATGATTACTAGCAGCACACCTCTTAACTCTCCTTCTATCCACCAGGCCACCTCTTTCCTCATGGAAAAGAGTGCCAAGATGTTCAGGGTAGTGTTATTGTATATCCTTTATTTTTAAAATTGCATAATTTTATAAGCATATAAGATATTATCTTTGTCTACTTTGTATATTTACTTGAAATTGAAGTGTGCCCCATGAGCCTGGTACTGGCCCAAATATTTCACATATATTAGCACTTTTAATCTTAGAGTATAGGGCTATCAGTTCATATCAGCCTTTTGCACTGAAGTTATTTTGAAGTAAACTTTATTATTAAAAAAAAAAGCTGGAAGTAGGAACTCTGGTTTGATTATCGTAAATTACTCAAAGCTACATCTATAAAAATTTCTGGTCAGCTGAGGCTCATTCTAAAAGGCCTGTGCAAAACTGACATATTTTTAGCTATAACCTACAGAAGAAATCTCCAAGTAATCATCCTTCTCTGAAAAAGTCATCAATACTGATAAAACCCAGAGAGCCAGCAGTGGAATCCCAGGCAGGCTGAACACGGAGGAATGAATCAATTGCTCCTAGAGGAATAGGACCACCCCATGAAGGTTCAGCGTAGGGCCTAGAACATTATCTCAAGGCCTGAAGAGCAGGGCTCCTGGGCCAGCCAGTCACAGCTTCAGGGTTAGTGGAAGAACCTGCATTAGGGAAGCACACAGCTATCTACGATTTCTGAGGATGTGTGGGAGAAACAACCAGGCTCAACTTTTAAATCACAAGAGCTTCAAAATACTCCTCCCAAGTTTCAAGGCTAGATGTGATTAAGGAGGACCTTGCCATCTGGGTTTTTAATCATCAAAGGTGTTAGTTTCTCTTTTATCATCTCTAACTTTGGATATTGCCCATTTTATTACCTTTATATCAATTGCCAAAGAAGAAATTTAAAAAGCAATCCTGTTTTCTAGCTGTTAGTCATTTTGGTTAAATATTTTGCAGGGAAGTTGACACTAATCAATAAAAATTACAAACTGCCACAGCGCATAAGTCATTCTTTCATCTCACTTCTGGGGAAAATCTAAAGTTGACTGTATTTCACACTTTTCATGACTCTTTCTTCTTGCTTAACAGATTATATTTTAAGAGAAATATTTTCAGACTCATAATGGATAATTGCTTAAAAAAATGTGCAAGAGAAGGCATAGTCTGTACTTTGTGGATGAGACATAAAATGCCTCATAATTTAGTTTAAAAATGGTCAATAGATTTCTATGCACCACAGTTCACATTAATTAGAACTGAAGTGTTTCCTTTAAAAGTACCAAATAGATACAAATGTGTGCTATCATTTTTATGCTAAAGATATTTGTATTTGCATTAAAATTGAGACATTCATAATATCAGAATCTAATATTCTCAAGAACTAGTAAATAAACAAATTTAAAAAGCAACCAAAGTTACAAAATCATCTCAACAAAACTCAAGGAATGTTATTTTAGCCTTAATGACATTAAAAGTCATTATCTTGTCAGTTTAGAGTTTAATGATTTTTCTTAACCTAAAATTGACAAATCCTTTGGAAACTCTAATAATTACACAAAGAAAGACTATCTCTTAGTTTCTAGCCAGCCAAAAGTTAGCTAGTTATTATTATAAAAGAAACCTTGGTTTGTATAAAGAGAATATCGATGTTTCAATAAAAAAACATTTACTAACCTGGTGTTAGGTGCCAAGCCTCTGGGCGCCACTGAACACAGGCAAGGAATGGCCATGATGCTGACGTTCAGGAACTGACCTTGGATCGTCCGCCATTGCTTACCACAGTCTGAAGGTAATGGAAGAGACTGGTTACTTTCCTCACCACAGCAAAAGGCCAGGGCAGCCTGGCTCAGGTCTCCAGGAGATGCTTTTAGACTCACCGGATTTCACAGATTCCCGTGCCATCCTCAGGGGAAGAAAACAGAGACAGAAATATGTCACATAGACAAATAGCATCTATTAGATATGAGAAAGTTAAAGAACATGACATTACAAATACTAAATGTTTTCTCTGATTGATTAGACAGTAAATAAAAATAAGTGCACAATTTTTTACCAACATCAATTATAATCTAAATTCATTTAAAGGCAGAAAAGTATTATAAGGAACAATAATTTTCAAATTTAACAACTACAACCCTTCCTTAGGGTGGCAGCTTTGATTAATGTTTGTGTTCTATAATAGAATAAAATTTTCAATAGGGGCTCAAACTATGAAGGTTTTGTTGTTGTTGTTTGGCTCATGCTTGTATCCAAAGAGCCTGGCATAGAATAGGCACTCAAACAGCTGTTGAATGAATATATGAATAGATGTATTTGTGAAAACGAAAGCCAAACTACATGCCTACTAGAACCTGCATGAGTCCATGATTTTATATTCTTCATTAGTATAAAAGAAAATATCCAAAGATCAAAAGTCTCATAAATTATGCCAAAATGTTTTGTGCTTAAAAGGTAAAGATATGTTACATTAAGCTTTTACTTACCTTTCTCCTTCATCCTGAGAGCCATTAAATGGTAAAAATGATATTTCACAGTCCTCAGGCCTAAAATATAATCAAACTTGTTATTAATAGTCATTGACCCTATGGTACAAAACTTGTGGTGTAAAAAACATCACTTACTTAAGCCTTGTCAGGGTCTTAATCACAGCAAAGTCTCTCCGTTTGCTAGGGGACATCCATCGGTACTTTTCTGCCAAAGCCAGAGTTCTTCCACCAAAACCAAACATGGCTGAGAACCCAAAGCGAAGAAGCTTGCCAGTGGTGCTAAAGGTGCAGACATCGACGGGTTGTATGTGTCCTTAAATATGATGTTGAATGCTAGTTAGCAAGTGGAGTGGGGCCACGTGTCAAAATATCAACCATCAGAGAGTGTATTTACTTCTAGAAGAACATCTCAAGATGGTGTACACTACAGTGTATACCCTTGCTCTCTCTTCATCTCCCTTTGCCTATAAGTACTCTAAATGTCATTTATAACTCTTTTGGATACCAAGCGAAGAAAGCAAAGTGGTTTACAGATGTGCATGGGTCAAAATATTTTTCTTGTAAGGTTTTTTTTCCTTAAATAATCTAATTCTGGTCCTAAATTCTTGGTACAAACAGGAATGTGGATTATAAACTAAATAGTGTGCATAGATTTTCTTGCTCTGATTAAAAAACTGATTTTGAATATCATTATGATGTATTTTTCTATCAAGATTAGAATATGTTGTAGCTTGTACGTAGATGTCTCTCCAAAGCCTCATGTGCTCATAGATGGGGCTTTTTGACTGGATTAAGGGTGTGTGATACTGGAATTAAGGGTGTATGATACTAAATTAGTCCACTGATTGGTTTAGCATAGTTCTGGGTGTGGATAATAGAAAGGCTCACCTGGCTGTGGCTGGCACCACCCAACAGCCTTATACCCTGGATGGGATAAAAGGGAAAGGAAGGTTTGCCTTGCTGCTGCTGCTTGCTGCCTTCTCCCTGCTCTGCCATAGACAGTTTCTTCTCAACCATGCTGCCTGCCTTGGAGCCAGCCAAATATGGACAAAAACCTCTACAAACTGTGAGCTAAAATAAACCTTTCCTCCTTTAATTTTGGATGTTCAGTATTTTATCTCAGCAACGAGAAAAATAACTAAGCGTGAAACTTCATTAATTGCCCTTTACAAATCAAATATTCTAAAAACACAGGCACTCCAAAGAGTGAATCCTTGTCCGACTTTGGGTTTTAGTCAAACATTTCTCTGCTTTGAGGGACAAAGAACTTATTCCTTAGATAAGTCTAATGGAAATAAAATGATGGTTCTTACATAAATAAAAACTTCTGTTTTACACATGAAGTTCTTTAGAAGGATTCTTACCCATTATAATGTGCAAAGTTGCAGTGACCACATGAGGGATTCCATGAAGAGAATGTGCCAATACATTAGTAGATCCTGCCAAAGCAATTTTAAAACATGCACTCAGTGTAGCATATGCTTTAAATTGACATTTGCTCTTATTTTATGTAAATATTACTATGTAATGTTCAGGTGAAAGTGTGGTGAAGTTTATATAAGAAAAGTTCATGAAAACACTAAAAGTAAAACTTTCCATCCACAATATAGATGTGTACAAGATATTTGCATAATTATTCAACTTTTAAATGAGTTAAATATTAGTAAATTGTTTATAGCATCTACTTACAGCTTTTTAAAAAGTCATGAAGGTCTATTTTCTACTTCCTAAATGCTGGCTATATCAAGGTCTACTCCACCAAACTAATGAATATGCTTTTGGCTTCCATATCGAAATAAGCACCAACACCAGAAGGATGGTTCCAAAGAGGAAGATAGATGTATAAATAAGAAACATCCAAATAATAATATAAAAATAGACTATCACTATAAAGTCCAACAGGCATTCCCTAAATACATCTACTGACCCTTAGAGATAAGTTCCAACACAAATGGGACTCCTTTCTATTATATGACCAAAAAAACAAAAAAAGGACTATCTGAAGAAGTTATTCTACATTTACCATGATGTGAAAAATCTATATTTGACTTATTATAATATCTGCTTTTCATAATCACTGGGACAATTTAAGACCCATATAAATTTTCCCCACCAGCCTACAGAAGGAAAGTGCTCCCAAAGCCAGGCCTCTACAATGTTTATGTGGCACTAAAATCTGCCATCTTACAATAGGAAAATATAAGCTAGCCCCTTGCATTTCCAGGAAGCTTTAAAGGGGCTTAAAATTATTAAGGAGAGAATAAAGATGAATGATAAAAAAAATCAATATACAAATAGCAGTGGTGTTTCTATACATTTACAACAAACTATCTGAAAAAGAAATCAAGAAAACAATCCCATTTGCAAAAAATAAAATGCTTAGGAATAAACTTAACCAAGAAAAATGAAATAGTTGAACACTGAAAACTCTGAAACATGAATGAAACAAATTGCAGATGACACAAATAAATGGAAAGATACTGTATATTCATGAATTGGGAGAATTGATATTGGTAAAATGCCATATAAATTCAATGCAACCCCTATCAAAATTCAAATGGCTTTTTTATAGAAATAGAAAAACATTTTAAAATGCATCAGAGCCACAAAAGACCTCCAGTAGTAAAAGTCATCTTCAGCTGGAAGAGCAAAGCTGGAGGCACCATGCTACCTGAATTCAATATACACCACAAAGCTGGTAAGTAATCAAAACAGCACAGTGCTCATATGAAAACAGACACAGTGACCACTGGAACAGAATGCAAATTCCAGAAGCAAAAAGCTCAAGTATTTATGGTCAATTGATTTTTCCACCATTGTGCCAAGAAAACACGATGGGAAAAAGATAGTTGCTTCAATGAAACTAGAGTCTGGATATCCACATGTAGAAAAATGCAGTTAGACACCCACCTTACAACTTATGGAAAAATCGTCTCAAAATGGATTAAAGAATAAAATGTAAAACCTAAAACTACTAGAAGAAAACACAGGAGAAAAGTTCCATTAAATGGGTCTGGGCATTGATGGTTTGAATATGACCCAAAAAACACAGGCAAAAAGGTAAAAGTAGGCACATAGGATTATATCAAAGTAAAACACTTCTGCACAGAGTGAGAGACAATGTACAGAATGGGAGGAAATATTTGTAAACCCCATAGCTGGTAAGGGTTTAACATCTAAACTATAATCAAATATCGCATGACAAAGATACGCTATGAGAAATTTTTTAGGCAATACTGTCATTGTGCAAATATCAGAGTATATCCACACAAATTAAATGATACGGTCCACTACACATCTAGGTTCCTAAGCTACAAACCTGTACAGTATATTAGTATACTGAATAAGAATCTGTGATGCAATAGTATGTATCTAGACATATCTAAATACAGAAAAAATATACTAAAAAGATAATAAAATGGCACACCCAGGAGGGCACTTACCTACCATGAATGTAACCAAAATTTGTTCTAGGTTACTCAGTGTGTGAATATGAAAGCCAAGGCTGTAACTACACCACTACCAAAGACTTCATAAATACATATGTATGCTAAGGCTATACTAAATTTACTTTTAAAAAGTTCTTCAATAATAAATTAATGTTAGTTTACTGCAACTTTTTACTTTAGGAACTTTAAAATAAATTTTAAATTTTGACTTTTCTGTAATACACAACTTAAAATGAAAAATTGCATAGCTATACAAAATATTTTCTTTAATCTACAAGCTTTCTATTTTTAAATCCCTAATTTTTTTACTCTTTAATCTTTTTTGTTAAAAGTACACACACACACACACACACACACACACACAGCAGCCAGCCTAGGCAACACGGGGTCAGGATCATCAGTGTCACCATCTTCTTTCTCCACATCTCATCCTATTGAAAGGCCTTCCTAGGCAACAGCACATGTGAGGAGCTGCCCCCTCCTGTGGCAATAATGCCTTCCTCTGCTCTCTCCTCTGAAGGGCCTGGCTGAGGCTCTTCCTTTTAAAATTTTTATTAGTGCATGTTTGCAGTGCATAATAACATTCATTGTGGGGAGTTGGTGCATGTACATAGCACATCTTAATTCTTTTTGTGTCTTCTTCCCCTCCCTCTTCCTTTTTTTTTGGTGCCAGGGATTGAATGATCCCCTTCCCATTTGCAGGTCAATCTCCCTGTTTATTTAGACTTTGGGTTTCTCATATAAGAGAAACCATGCAACATTTAAGCTTCTGTGTCTGACTTATTTCATGTAACTGGGCTCATCTTGAGCAGACGTCCCTCTTTAGAGATAAGCCCATAGTGCTTTGCTTGGTTCCTTTTTTTCACCATAGATTTGCTCATAAGCAGATAATGCACCATGAAAGTCCCTCTTGATTAGTGCAAACCATTGTCTTTGTTCCAAACTTTTAAAATTCTGAACTTTTAAAGAAGCTTATTGAGATTTGCAAAACTTCTACTAAAGCTCTCCCTATAAATGTTCCTGTTTTTTCTTCTGCAGTTTCCACATGTTCTGCCTCGTCTTCAGCTACACATTCGTTTTATGATAGGAATTTTTCAACTCCACTATATTTTTACATCACTGGGGTATATGAGAGCTGCCACTCACTGAAATGTGATTACACAGTGTACTGAGTACATAGAAGGAACCGTAACAACTCAAAAGCAAAATAACAATGGCAATAACAGAAAGATAACAATAACAAAATAACAGTAATAATAACAATAAATAAAATAAATAATGATGACAATAACAAATAACCTTACTTTAAAATTTGCAGAGATTCTGAATAGTCATTTCTCCAAAGATGATTTATATATGGACATGTGTCACATGAAAACAATATTCACTATCACAAATCAGAAAAATACAATACGAAACCACAATGAGATATCACCTCAACCTGTCAGAATAGCTGTTATCTTTTTAAAAAAAATCTACCAAAAATCCATATGGCTAGAATGTAGCGAAATTAGAACCCTGTATGCTATTTGTAGGAAAGCAAAATGGTGCAACTGATATGGAAAACAATTGCTATGGAGGTTCCTCAAATAATTGAAAACAGAAGTATGTACTATGTGATGCATTAATCTTACTGGGCATTATATTACTGGGCACTAATCTTGCTGGGCATTATGTGGAAGAAGTATCTACACCCTCATGCTCAGGGTATCAGTCTTCACAGTAGCCAAAGTATATAATCAATTCATGTAGCCATGAACAGATGAATAAGAAAATGTGGTGTACACATACAATGGAATAGTATTTGGCTTTTAAAAAGGAAATCCTACCATTTGTGACACCATGGATGAGCCCAGAGGACATAATGCCAGGTGAAATAAGTCAGGCGGAGAGACACATACTGCATGGCCTCAATTATAGGTAGAATCTAAAAAAGTTGAACACACAGAAGCAGAGAGTAGGGCTGGGTGGGGGAAGCTTGTAGACATGTTGGTTAAAGGTTGCAATATCTAGTTATAAAAAGTTCAGGAAGTCTACTGTACAACACAGTGACTATAGCTAACTGTGTTACACAATTGAAAATTGCTGATTTTAATTTTCACAAAAAATTAAGTATATGAGACAGTACCTATGTTAATTAGCTCAATGTGTCTGTTCTACAATGGATACTTAATTCAAAACATGTTGTACATATTAAATACATATAATTTTATTTCAAATTTAAAAATAAATGAGGGTAAGGTGTTTAAAAGAGTAATTAATGGAAATAAATTCACTAATTTTAAAGGTTGACTTGCAGGCCCACTCCAGATATACTGAATGAGCCTGCAGTTTCAAGGATCTATCTCCCTGGATCTGTATGCACTGTGACTTGGTGCATGCATGGACTGGGTAGTCTATTACTCAGCACTACCTGAGAGCCTCATAAAAATGTAAATTCCTAGGTTCCACCTCCACCGCTTGGAATCGGAGTGTGCATGTCCGTGCGTGTGTGCGTGTGTGTGTGCATTGAGGAGGGAGGGTCATTTGTGTGTTTTAGCGAGTTCTCATGCTAAAACAGGGTGATCTGTACACACCCTGGGATTGAGAACAAGTAGTCCAGAAAGCAATTACTCTCTTCATCTTGACCAAGGCCTTTCCAATGATCTCTTGGCCCTCTATGGCTTGCCCTTTGGCCATCTAATTTCAAATTCATCTTGCATAAGAGGTAAAAAGAGAAGAGAAATCAATTTTTCTTCCCAATCAGATCTATGATAAAGATTTCATAATTAGAGTGAGATATATAGAATTATCGATGAATTATAGTTCTCCATGAAATACATTTCCTCTATTACCATGGTTAATTAAGAATAGACCATAAAAGCATCCCTCTAGAAAAGCTATTAGAAAATATAATGTAATGTTGTCATGTGCAATAGAGAATGACACATATCATGACTCCAGAAAATGAGGACTGTTTATTCCAAGATTTGGAAGTATGCTCAAGCACAAATCCTCTTAAATTACTAGAGATGGATTTTATTTTTATGTCCTCTTAGGGTTTGCAACTTCTTCCCCATTCTGAAGATTTTAGCAATAGTAATAGGCATAACTAGAAATTAGAAAATGATTATAGTCATCTTCTACTTATTAAAGCATGCCTTAATCTTCCAACATGGTTTTTTATGCACAGAAGAAAACAGAAAGGTTCATGAAAAATTGCAAGTAATATTGTAAAATTATATAAAGTTCTATATTTTGGTTTGTATATCTGAAAGATAGGTCACATTTTATTTCAGCAAATTGGACTATGTTGGAAAAGATGTCTACATGCCAAAGGAACATGCTGCTCACATAAATAACAATGGTATAATTTTAACATTCTCTCAAAAGCTATAAATGTTCTACCTCAAGGTAAACATTTTAATTAGTCTGTAAAGTTATTTTCCTTAACACTACCAGCAACTTTACTTACCAATCCATCTCCAGACATGCTAAAAGGTGCCAAATAGAAAGAGTAGGGACAGAGGTAGCACTTCATGTAAAGCCTGACTGATGAAATACCTGGCAGAAGCTAAACTAGAGGCTCAAAACAGAAAAAAGAAAAGGAAGGAAGGAAAAAAGAAAAAAAAATTATCCTTAGAAGTGTAAGCACTTCTGCAGAACAATTAACTTAATTAACCAGACACCATGAATATTCATAAGGCTGTTAATGTCTCCCACATCCAAACAGATAAATGTGATGTAATGACTTCCTAGTCAAGCATATCTAAAATTCTCATGAAAACGGCACCTACACTTTGGTTCTTTGCCTGAAATATCATAGAAATTAACAGTCCCTCGGCAATATTTTATTTTCCTCAAATTAATTAGAAAGCATGAATTTATTTATGCAAACTCTATAGGAATATATGGTTCACAGCCATTGGTATGTGGATTGAGCCTTGTTTTACAACAACTGGATTGCTTTTTTATTTTTATGTCCTCTCAAGCTTTTTCCTGTTTACCCCCTCCCCTCTTTTAATCGGAATCTGTCTGTATAGTTCCTTAGCACCAGTTGCCATAGCAACAAACACCATTCCTAATGGCTGGCAGTTCAAATACAGGCCTCCCCACATCTGATCCATTTGAGTCTGTCCATAATTCAGCAGCTTGGTCTATTGGCTCAGTGAAACAATTTACTAAGCACTCTCCCTCTGGGTGTCTCTCTCCAGGAGGCAAATGGCTTCAAAGGCAGACTGTCTCCTCATTTTCAGCTTGAAAACTTCCTGCCTAGCTCTTGTTCCTACTCTCCATCAAAAGCCCTGACTAGGCATAACATCCTCATATTAAATACATCCCACATATGACCTTCTCCTCCTATTAGATGGAATTAGGAAGCTGGAACTCCTATCTACCAAGCAGAGGTTTGACAGCAGTCATTCTGTATCATCTAAACAAAAAGCAATACAGTGGCATTTTTACAAATACCCACTGGATTCACGGAATATTTTCAAAATCACAAATATGCTTTAAAATATAAAAACTCAGTGTTACTCCTTTATAAAATCAGCATTACCATTAAAAATGTAAGCATAACTGCCAGTTTTGGTAGCGAACTACCCCCTTGATGTCAAATACATACTTTTGGGGACACTTGTCTCTTCACTTCTGAAGCACAGCAGTTAATGAATAGGCTCACGAATATAAGCACTAATGAAGAAAAACAATAACTGAAGTACAGTACAACCACTTTGTATGGAGGGAATCGTCAGAAACATTCCACCAAATGCAATCAGAACTACTAAAATCATATGAAAAGGTCAAAAAAATAAAATGGCATGGCAAGATGCTCCAAAATGCATCTTTCTTCTCTGAGTTGAGGTTATCTTCTGCTTACAAGCTATTATAGATCTTTCTACATACACCTTGAAATTATCAGGATATATCCTAATATCTCATCCTTTTTAAATTCTTGCGTTTATGAAAGGCTTTATATGCTAAAAATATATTTAGATAAATTACGTTGTCAGTTTAACAATAAAACTAAATATACTAAAGTCCACACTAAATATATAAGATTACCAAATAAAATGTTGAATTTTCTTTCAACCATGTCCATTAATTATTTTCATATGAAAAAAATCTTTTCTGATTTTGTTTTAGCAATAATGGATGACATTTTAAAAAGAAAAAGAACAATTTCCTATATTATTTACTTAAATAAGGGGCAAGTGGATTATATAACATAACAAACATGAAAAAGTTCTTTCCTCTTCTGGACAATAGTCTTGCGCCAATCATTCTATATCTTGTTGCGAAATGAATCCTGCTAGAACAGCTCCATCAGGTTGCTCCCTTGATGGGAAACACCTGCTTGTCCCCTGCTGCTGCTCAAATACAATTCAGATCGCTTCCTGCGGCCTGCAGCAGCATCCACGGTCTGGCCTATTTCCTCCCATCCAGCAGCTCCTTCTATTCCTCAAACACACTTGGGTTTCCTTTTGCCTTTATTATTTTTGCATCTTAGAGAATAACTCACTTTTATCTTTCCTGGCCAGATCCTACCCATTTTAAGCCCTAATTCTAGTGTTTTTTGTTCTATAATCTTTTTTAAAATTCATTCACTTAATCCATTTTATTGTGTACTTTTATGCTCAGCTTGGAAACTTCCTGCCTAGCTCTCATTCTTATTATTCATCAAACGCCCTGACTAGGCATAACATCCTCATATTGAACACAGCCCACACATGACTTTCTCGTCCTATTCTGTGGAATCAGGAAGCTGGAACCCGGGTTGGGATCTCCTCCAGGAACCAGGAATGTGGCAGTGGATATAAAGGTAACCAGCCTGGTCCTGAGGGAATTGATCCTCTAAGGCCCAGATTCTCTCTCCAGTCAGAAGGAATCTCCCGGTGTTCTCAAGGTTATCTGTCTCTGCTTCAATTACATGATGTCCACATTTTACCTCATATGAAATAAGAACAGCTTGACTGGAATGGTCTTGTTCTAAAACTTCCTGTTGGGCACTGTGTGCACAACAGACTTTGATGGAAGGCAGGATAATAATTCTATAGCTTATTTAAATTATGTATTTAAACACTTTGTCCACACTGACTAGTTCAGTACAATAACCTTGTAACGAAGTGAATATTATGGGTTATCTTTACTTTACAGATTAGAAAAATAAGGCTAAAAGAGATACAATTGCTTGTCCAGGGTCTCGCATTTGCTAGTGAAGAGGCCAGAAGTCATGCTTGGATTTTCCAGACCTGAAGTGCACACAGCTAAGTGTGTCGCACAGCTGAGGCTAGGAGGCAGGAAAGGGAATGTGGAGGGGTCAGTCTGACACATCTGTGGGCATCCCTTGCCTGCGGGTATTAAACCGAGAGGAAGCTGTGCTCGGACTGGAGTGAAGACCCAGTCCTTTTCCATCCCGGCACTCTCCTGGGCTCTGAGAAGCAAACCGTGGGCTACTTCATTTGCAGATCCATCTCCACCAACACAGACAATACTAGAAAAGAGAAAACGCAATTTCAAAATAATTGGTAATCATTCATAAAATCGAGATTTTGAAATATTTTAGTAATTTTGTATGTGCATGATTACTCATACACAACTTCAGATATTTTACTATGTGTCAATGCCTAAGAAGATATAATCAGTGGACAGAGAAACTTTACTCTATGAATGTGACACCTACGTAATACTCATAGATGAAATATTTTAAACGAGACATTAAAGCAGTTGACTATATTAACTCACGTCTAACCTGTATTTGCTTGTAAACATCCAAAAGCGTATCATTGTCATTGTATTTGTTAATAATACTGCCATCTGCAATTTATTAACACACATCAAAGTAATAAAATTCGCTAATTCTCAATAAAATTCTGAAAAGACCGCAATAAAAATCATGTAAAATAGGAAGCTTTCGTTTAGGGAACCGCTAATTATTATCAGTATGTGAATGTAGTCATTGTAAACATGACCTGGTTTTATCTCTTTGACATTACTGCTACATGCCACTTCTCAATTTAGCATCAGTTCCCTTTGATCATAGACAGAATTGTTAATGGGTTTTTGAGACCTTATGGTGAGTAGACTTTGGAAGAGAGTAGGATCCATAAAAATTATACCTAAAATTCAGGACATTTTCGCATAATGATTTGTATTTTAAAGATGCCAAATAATCCTCACTATCAACCTGTCATCAATTTACCCAACGGAGGAAGATTTTGTGTTACTGAAAGTGTCTCAATGCAGAGCCTACAAAGGCCCAGCAGAAATATAATGTCCTCAGTCTGAAGGCATAGTGACTTCTCATCCTCAGCCCACTCACACCATGTGGGAAGCCTAGAAAAGTAGATCTGATTTTTCTTAAAAACCCAGATTTGATCTTAGGGTGAATCTCCTAGTTTATAAATACTAGCACCCAGCATTTATTATACCTTTAAAAACCATGTGCCAAACCAAACTGCCTTTGGGCTCTTATCAGCAAGGGCTACTTGTCATATAATATGTTTGATTTCAACTTTGCCTGTTTGATTTCAAAAGTCTCCAAGAGATTTCCAAACATTCTACAGACTTATAGATGTTAATCTATACGTCTACACATGCTGACATATATCTGTGATCTAAAGGGGCATATAAAGTCATGCAAAACCCATGTCATTTAGCAACAAAGAACTTGGCTCTTAACTACATAGGATGGCAGCAAGCACTTGACTCTTGGAATCTCGCATGCAGTTAGAGCATCCTGCATAGGTAACTTATTGCTAGAGTCAGAAGAGATGGCCTTTCTATGAGCATTCTCTGCTGCAAAACCTTTGAAATCTTGTCATAACTCATTCTGTGTTAAATTGTTTGAAACCAATATGAATAATTTAACAATAAAGAAACACTTAGTAAATGTTACTATGTATATCAGGCACTATTCTCCCCACTTCCCATGTATTAACTCATTTAACAATAAATGTATACAGTAGACACTAATGGACTCAATTTACAGATCAGGAAACCAAGGCATAGAAAGACTGACTTTTCCATGATCCTATGACTAATAAGTGATATAACAGGGATTTGAAACAAGACAGTGTGGCCTTAGAGACTATATTATTAAATATATTATACTCCTTTTATATATGAAACCCAGTGAAAACAGACTTAAAAGAATTTTATTTTAAATACCAGTTTGAAAACCAGTATAACCAACATGAAATTGATTGAGTTAGGAGGCATATATTTATTTATGTCAACATTTGATACATCATTAAGATCATGTCCAGGTATAGTTAACCTAAGGACTATGCTTAATATTAAACCTCACAAGAGATTAGATACTGCAAGAACAGGGAAAAACAAAAACAAAAACAAAAACAAAATTAAGCTCTTTTAAGGCGTTAATTTAACCACACTTAAGAGTTATCCTGAAACATAAATCTTAGAATAACTAGTCCATTGTATGTGATAAATATTACTGTTTTCAGAGAAAGTAAGCACCTTGCTACGGCCCCAAGCAGAATGATTCTGCCCAGAAGAGTAAAACTGAGGCCAGATATTTTATTCCCCCTTTCTAAAGAATAAGAAAAAATAATAAATGGCTGTTTGTGTATTTGTCGACCAGCCAATATAATCTTGGAAGTGTGAATATGTTATTGGCTTTTTGATTCAGTGTTTTTTTGTGTGTGAAAGGAGATTTTACTTTTACCTTAGTAAATAATACAGATATTGTGGTCAATCTGATACAATGTCAATATTAGCCAAATAATGTCTCAATTATTGTGGGTCTAGTTAATGTTAAAATAAACAAAACACTGTAATTCAATAAATTCAGAAAAGTGCTTGGAACAGAAAAGTATTTGGGAAACAAATAGCAAAGAGTTAGTATATTTACAATTATATAAAAGCTACAGGTTGGTTTAACTATATTCACATTAATAAATGCAGCTGCTTGTGCTTGAAGTATATGCAACTCATTTTACTCCTTTCTTTGCCTTTACAAAACCTCTTCTTCATGCCCAGTGTAAACAGTGGGCAATATGGACTCTGAAACCCCTCCAAGCTCTAGCAGTGGGTCTGAGAGCGTTTGCTAGAATACACTGCAGCGGGGAAGCAGCTGTCATCAGTACTGGTATGCTGTTTCTGTTGACTTTAGAAATATGTCACAATGTGTCTTCCTAGAAACATGTAACTTATTTTTTAAAACTATAAAATCTTAGGAAATAGCATTTCTTAAACATCACTTGCCCGATTGTTTTTGCTTTGCTGAATAATATACATTAAATCTTCGATGGTAACCTCCCCGGCTTGTGTCCCGAACTATTAGAAATCACTAGTGACTTCCTAATCATTTCCCATTGATAGTTCCACTAGAGTCAAAAGAGATGCCACAGGCTGAAGGAATGTGTCTATTTCTCATCAAAATGAAATAGTATCCTAGCTACTTAGGAAGCTGAGGCGGGAGGATTGCAAGTTTGAGGCCACCCTGGGGAACTTAGCAAGACCCTGTCTCAAAATTTGAAAAATAATTATGGGCTTGGGATGTAGCTTGCTGGTAGAGGACCTGCCTAGCATATCTAAGCTCCTAGGTTCAATCCCAGTACCTCTGCCAACCTCCAAACTAGCACTTTACGTTACCTCATATCAATCTTAAATCATTTCTATAATTGTTTTAAAAAGTGCTTCTAATTTCACCATTTGAACAGGTTGGGGGTTAGGAAATTTACCTATGTAGAACACTCAATTTCAAACAATTCCACTTGTTGAGGAATTATTGATCTGAAGTACATAATGAAATTATGTTTCCATTCATCTCCCCGTATCTTCTCTATATATTTCTAAGTATGGGTACTTAAAATTAACCTTTTATTAAGAAACTATCCCAACCACTGTACCAATTCCTACCAGAAAAATTGAACCTATGAACATAAATAAATAGTTTAAAGGATTTTGGAACATTGATAACTTCTAATGGAAATGTTATATTATTATTAGTCCAAAGTAAACAACGTTCTACAGGGTTTGCCAACAGTAAATTCACAGAATACAATTTATATAATGGTCAGGCCAAACAATTTGCTTTCAGAATATAGGAGTAATAATTGAAGGATTTATGTATTGTTTAGCACTACAGTGCAAAATAATAACATCTGCATTATAAATAATAATTAAATTGTTCAGATAAAGAGAAAAAACATTATCCCAGTGCACTGAGCAATAGTCATGCTTAATTCTGCAAAGTTTTTCTTAATTCTTCCACTGTATAATCACTAGAAGAATCTATTTTTAGTAACCACATTCTGCAGAACATTTTACTTTGCTGGTGGGCAAGTCCAGGTTTGATATCTCTGATATTTGTTACTATATTTATATAATCATGTTTTAAAGCAAGGACTCCTTTGTAATGCATCTACCCTCATGTGTTCAGAGTTTGCGACCATATTAACATAGTTTGGGCATGACTCTCTCAGTTACTTGAGAGAATATTTCTTAAATATTCCTTCAAGATGATTTCCAAAATGTAATCCATGCATCCTCTGTGTAGTTCTAAGTACACAGACATAAAGTAACGACCTACCTCATACTCTTGATCCTCATTACTTGTAGAATATTGCCATGTCAGTTGGCTCCCTTCAATTAAATCCCTTTTAGCTAAATCATCTTTCATTTACTAAACTCTTTCATCCTCACCAGACACTGTTTTGTCTTATCAAAGTATATTAAGCATTAAGCAAAATATATTAAGCATTTGTGAAAAGCAATGCTATCCATGGTCCGTTCTGACTGAATCACTTTCCTCCACACACCCTAGTTTTCCTTTGGCAAAATTAAAGCCTTTCACTTCCTGCAAGTGTAGAGGCCTTCCTTTCCTGACTGAGAGTCTTTTGTTGCTCTCTGCCCATCACCAAGCAACAAGGGTAATTTTCATACTTACCAACTTTTTAAGCTCTCAGATAACCACTCTTGTAAAAATCTTCCCTAAAGGAATATGTTTTAGTCATATATCAACCCATCACTTTTAGCAAATCAATTCACCTGATTTTTAAAAATCGCTATTAAAGGGCCGGGTATTTAGCTCAGTGGTTTCGCCACCTGCTGCATAAGCACAAGGACCCAAGTTCGATTCCCGGTACCAAAAAAAAAAAAAAAAAAAAAAAAACGGCTATTAAATGTATACCACCAACCTTATTTTTAATATTCATATCCCGGTAAGTAATCGCTGCATTATCCACCAATACCTTGTAAATAATTTCCAGCGCCTACTATGAATAACACATTTATTTGATAGTCATTAATTATAAGATAATTAAAATTAGCATCTTTTATTCATTCTGAAACTAGTAGATTTGTTATTACCAAATATCTACCCCAATGAATCAGAGCTAAGTTAAGTATTGGTAACTATTAAAACTATCAATACATTTGTAAAAGAAAATCATTGCACAATTATACCATGGAACCAATGTAATATTATCCATCAATGTTTTCCTAGATACATAGTAAAAGTTAAAAATTAAGAATTTTAAATGCAACTGGTGCATATTAAGTAAGAACTAGGTAGTGCCCTGTGATTTTCCATTTATAATTAGATTTCTATTTTTGCTTTTCTATACCAGATACTGAGAAGTGGATGCCATATTATCATTCAGTATCATTACATAGACATGAAAAAACAGCCTGATTACATATATCACAAATGCTTAAAAATTACATTTACTAACATAAGCCATATGATATATACAGAGTAATAATATAACCTACCCATCGAATCCTTGGAGTTCACATTCCTTAAGGAGGGACAGGGCATGGCCTTTATATTCTGTTACTATTTAAAAAAATACAAAAAAGTGAAAGTTTCAAATAATGATCTATATCTTTTTAACTTGGTTTGTCAAAATAAAATGATTAATATATGATCAGGTCAAAAAACAACATTTATTCTTGAATATTTATATTTTAATCACAGGAAAGAGAATTAAGTGTTAGCTGCCCAGTGAGTTTTCTAGCTTTACATAAAAGAGGATCACATGTTTGTTCCAACTGCGAAAGTCATCTGGGGATACCCAACACACAGTGCTCAGAGCATTCATCTTGGTGCCTGTCTGTTTAGTATTCTCCAAAGAAGACACAAGTCCTTTAAATCAGAAGCTTAGGAGCAGGAATATTTTGAAAATACAGCATATTAGCTGGCATCGAACAGTCAATGTTAAATCGCTTTGGCAACCTTACATGCACAAATTAGTGGAAAGGTTAGTGTAAGATTTACATACCAGAAGAATGTGTATCTGGAACCGCTAGACTAAAAACGGAAGAGTTGGATGTGAAAATATAAAGTCAAGCCAGCATCAACGCTAAGACCCAACCCAGGAGGAGGGTGGAACACAGGTCCCCCAGAGCCTGGGTCCTCTGAGGAAATGAATCTGTCACACTGTATCGCTGTCTCCACAGTCACTGATGCCCTCCGCAGTACTGTAAATGCCAATGAAGATAGGATAAACGGGCACACTGCAGATGGCACCAAGCATCACAACCACATTTAGCATTTTCCGGGGCAGCCCTGCCAGAAGAGACAGCCCAGCTGTACCTACCCATCAAAGATTTCTGCTGACTGACATGACATTGCAGATGGAATTTTTGCGTAAGAATGTGCATCATTATATGCAAGATTACATTAATCTTTCATGCCTGTCTGTCCCTGGTCCCAGGATGGTTCAAGCTTTTCCTAAAATGTTTTTAGATATTGTTAAAAATTATTAGTCTTGGTGTCTAAGAGAATCATTGTATATCCAGTAGTGTTACACTGTAATTCTCCCATAACTTACTTAAAAGGCTGTTAACATTCATATGGTAAAACCATTCTCTATTAAATTCTAATCAGGAGCTGTAATTAAATGTAAAATATTAATATTAATAAACTTGGAAGATTACGTTATCATAAAAGATATAATTTGTGGCTACAGTAAGTAGTTCTAACCATACAATGAAAAATAAGGTCTTACACATACATTAAAAATAATTAAGGTCCCCGGGCACGCCCACCAGCTGCCAGCATAGTGCGTGGGCAGAGCGTCCCGGGTTGACCGGAACCCCACTTAGTCCGGCTCGCCATGCCCACTTGCAACCAGGAGATGTGAGGACGCCCCCAGGCATACCCACCAGCCATCACCATAGCCATGCGGGCGTCTGAAACAACAGCCCCTCACCCCACCCCGGCCTCTTGGCTGTGCAGCTACCTGGTTCCACACTACAGAGGCACAGGGTGGAAGGCCATTGTCCTGAGCTGCAGAAGTGAACAACAGAGAGAGGGCCTCTCTCAGGCTCCCTGAGGAAAACTGAAGCCCACTGGAAAAGTGAAGAGAATCTCTGCAACAAAGGCACACCAGACCATCATAGTTGGTAAGTTGGAGGGATCATCACCTCCCATCAGAACCTGCACTATCTTCAGGGGAAGGGCAGCTGGAACCTGCAGTAGAGCCTTGCAGAGTTCAACCCTGCAGGAGGTCAGGGAGCTCAACTTGGGACTTGCAGCCAGAAATCTGCCTGAATCTCACGTGTCTGTGACTGGCTTGCTGAGACTCATTGACATATAACTGTACACTGCTGCCCACATTGTCTATTGTGACAACAGAGCCATACCCTGAAGGAGGCCCCTCATTTGTATCTTTTATTTGTTATTTTCAAAATTACCACTATTTTTTTGCTCTTATTTTTAATTTTTTTTCTTCTTTTTCTACTCTTTCAAAAGTTTTTTTTTCTTTTTTCTTTCTTTTCTCTTTTCTTTCTTGCTTTCTCTCTCCCTTGCTCCCTTGCTGTCCCACATTGTGCTTCATCTCCCTTCTTGTTCCTGTTCTAGTCCTAAATCGTATTTCTTCTTTATTTTCCCTTTCTTTTCTTTTTCCTTCTCTTACCTGTGTCCTCTGGCCTCACTGCTAACCTTCCCCTATCCTTCTACCTACCTATCCCTCCCTCCTCAACTCCTTTTAACTCCCCATCCCGAATGGTAAAGTTGCTATATTGAAGAGTTTATTCACTGTAAACATATGTTGAGTTGGTCCTTGATTTTTATTTAATTCACACAGTTAAAGGTGATAGATTAATAACTACACAAATTGTCATTTTCTAAGAGGTACTTGATGTTATTGTGTTGCTGATTATATCACTTGGGCTAAGGTGTTGTGATGGATCTAATCAGTTGTCCTTCCTGGTATAATGAAAATGAGATAGCCTCAGAGTCATTAGAGACTCAAAACCTAAAGACCAGCTATATCTGGAAGACATCTCTGAGAAGCAATCATTCCATAAGGGTTCTAAATACATCAACAAAGATACTTACAATAAGCAACTTCAGAGTATCAATCCAGGAACTAAATCAAGGACAGTACCAAAAACAAAAATGAGAAGACGTTTAAGGAAGGCACAAACTCAGAATTCCACCCCACAAAAGGCAAATTCTGGGGGAAACAAGGTTGAAAAGTCTGATAATCAACCACCTGAACATCCTGAACTGACAGCACAGGAAGTAACAAAACAGATGAATGAGTCTCTAGAAAAATTCAAAATGGAAATAATCTCCCAGATAACTACAGAGATGGTGAGCAGGGTGATTAGACATGATTAGAGGCTCCAGACATGATTAGAGGCTCTAGAACAGAAACAGATTTAAAAAAAAAAAATAGATGAGCTCAGAAACATGCTGGAAGCCATGAATGCCCAGCATAAGAAAGAAATGGAAACCATGATCACCCAACATAAGAAAGAAATGGAATCCATGAAACAGATTCAAACAGATATCCAGGAGATTAGAAACTCCTTTGAAAGCATGCAGAGCAAATTTAGGGAATCTGAAGATAGAATATCAGATATAGAAGACAGGATTGTGGTTAAGGACCATGAAAACAGAGATCTCTTCAAAATAGTAAGGGGCCACGAGAAATCAATCAAGCAGCTGCTAGATGATGCCAAGAAGAATAACATAAGACTGAAAAAACAGAAGAAAGTACAATTGACATTAAAAAAACTGTCCACAGAAGTAATAGTAGAAAACTTCCCAGAGAGAGGTAGAGAATTGGACATACAGATAAGTGAGGCATATAGAACTCCAACTAGCCATGATCAAAAAAAAAATCTACACCTAGATATATAATAGTCAAGATCTCAGAAGCTCAATAGAAGAAAATAATCCTACAGGCAGTTAGAGAAAAGAAACAAATCACCTACAAGGGAAAGCCCATCAGAATCACGGCAGACTTCTCAACACAAGCCCTCAAATCAAGGAGAGCCTGGAGTGAAGTATTCAAACCCCAAAAGAAAATAACTTCCAACCTAGACTGTTGTATCCTGCAAAATTATCTTTCAAAATCGATGGGGAAATTAGATAATTCCACAACAAAGAACACCTGAGAAATTTCATGAACACCAAAACAGCACTCCAAACAATTCTAAGCAATATCCTAGACAAAAGACAATGAAGGTCACAACTCCATGAGGCCCAATAGAGGGAAACCACCAGGCAAGGTAAGAAACTAAAGGGAAAGGGGGGGAAAAATAAGAAATAAAAGAGCCAACAACAGTAAAACATCATGACAAGGATGACTCAATATCTATCAATTATAACTATTAATATTAATGGCCTCAATTCACCTATCAAAAGAAATAGACTGGCAGAATGGATTAAGAAACAAAATCCAGCAATATGCTGTATACAAGAAACACGCCTAAGTCAAAAAGAAATTCATAGACTGAAAGTAAAAAGATGGAAAACAGTTCTCCATGTGACAGAAACGCAGGAAAAAGCAGGGGTAGCAATCTTATTTGCAGACAAAGTAGATTTCAAACCAAAACTAAGAGAGACAAAGATGGTCACAACATCCTTGTGAAGGGAACAATCCAAGAGGAAGAGATGACAATCCTAAATATCTATGCACCAAATACAAATGCCCCCAACTATACAAAACAAATATTAATGGACATGAAAAACCAAATAAGCACTAATACAATTGTATTAGAGAGGCAGGTGGATTTTCAGTGTATCCAGTGCCTTGATGGAGGAGCTAGGTGGGCTTAGCCTGATCAGACCAGAAAAGGGCATTTTGTAAGTGAGCACAGAGCAGGAACCATTTCTAATGTGGACAAAGACTCAGCGAGCCTGATCATAAGAATTCACATGGAATTGCCCAGTGATCGCATCCTGCCGCTGGTGCAGCATGCCACGCCAGGACTGGGCACCCACGAGATGCACCGCATGCCTGTGCTCTGCTGCACAAGGAAACTGAACTACAGTCTCAGGACTTATTCTCAGGCTGATTCCTCTCTATGCTGCCTTGACCCTTTCACATTCTATGAATTAGCCTATGAACCAATGACCTCCCAGAATCTCTCTCACACATTCAATGGTACAATCTATGGAGTCTGCTTTACTTTAGGAATGAGGGAAATAAACTGTATCATATGCCAGCAAGGGCTTATCATTCATGCTCTTCTTTGATCCTTATACTAATAGGTTAGTAGAAAAAATAATTATGTTTCCTCTTGGTTCTTTCAGCACTTTTTCTGATGTCATTATTAGAGAAAAAACTACAGTGGAGGTGGCATCAGGGGGCAGATCAGATTCAATCTTAGCTTAAATATTCCAAAAGATGATGTCTATTCAGTGGTTAGGCTTCCAACACAATCCAAAATGAAAGGGGTAAATGCATTTTAAGGAATGTGGTAATATCCACTTTTAAAAGAAATTTATGGGAAAATTTCTAGGTTTTAATATGTATCTAGCAGCAATTTCAAATCAAACAATGTTTTTACAGCACTGTATCTCCTAATGAACTAATCATCATATACAATTTATTATGTTATTTATATTACTTAGAACTAATGCACAAAAGGATATGTTAAAACAATGGACATCCAGAAGAAATGTTCTCTTTTGCACTGCCCTTCATGTATCTTTCTTCCAAATAAAGTGTGAATTGAATCTCATTACACAATGTTAGGGAAATGAAACCAATAACCTTATAACCATATTTCTATTGCAGTTTATACATACAAAGTAGTTTCACAAAACCACATTGGATTTCAGGCAAGAAGACTAAAATTTTTAAGTATCCCTGTGTTTATTCAGTCTACACAAAATAGGAAACTTTTCCATGTAAATATCTAGCCAACCCTGTACACATACTGAAGTAGTTTCACAAGCAAAGGATGCAACTTTATAATTTTGCATATAGGAGTGCAGGCTACCAATAAATAGCCATTCTGCACAAACACAAAACTAAATTCTACATTTGCCTTATGTAATTTTCTAATTTACTCTATGTTGAACTAAATGTAATATTCAATAATAGTTGGACATTTAGGGGGAAAACTTAGAACATACTACTCTTCTCTCCAATACAACTGGAGGGAGGAAAGCACATTCCTGTCATTTCCTCTGCCTTAGCTTTGGCCTCCTCCACTGGTTTCCTTCTCTCCACATCTCTTCCTTTCTAATCTTTATTCTGTGGCTGCAATCATCTTTGCCAAACCAGGTTACAGTGCTACAATGAAATATTTATGCCAACTGTGGATCGATGCACAGCGAATAAACTGCTAGGACTGGAGGAAGGTCCATCCATAGTCTGGACTCAGGGCTTCCTGGAAGCCATTTTTCCCTTTTCTCTCCCTGCTGGAATCCAGATTCAGTTTGGGTATCTTTAGCCTTCAGGAAAAGAAAGCCCGGCCTCAGTTCCCAGGAAGGTTCTTGGTGGCTCAGAGAACAGCTCTTCAAGTTGGTGGTGCAGACTACCTTAGCACAGTTAGTGAGAAGAGAGAAATGTTAATCCATCTTTGGGATTAAAGCACGTTGGGTCTCCCTCTGTCACACATATGTATAACCTCTCCTCATGCCACTAGGGATGAAAAGGTCCAATTTACTGGCAGCTGTTGGTGATGATGAAAAGAACCAAATGTAAAATGAAGTCAAAACTAGAAAGCTACAGCCAGGTTATGAAACAAATTCCCAAGATTCTATGAGTTTAATTCACTTTTGCTCTCCACTCATACATGCTTGCTACACTTCCTTTCCTTATCTTTTGCCTTCCTTGCCTTTATAAAACTGTCCATTTTACATGCTTTTCTGACCCCTCTAATAAAAATCAATGTTATCCTGAGATACCATAGTTCTTTTATGTATGCAACAATTAAAATATTTAGTTTTAAGTATCTGTTTGACTATGCCCTAAAAGTAACTCAAGAACAGGTATGATAAAATATTCATCATGTATTCTGTACATTGCTATAACATATAAGATGGAGATAGTGTTTAACAAAAGAGTCTTCTTCCTCTTCCTCTTCCTCTTCCCTACTTGTCTTTTTTTTTTTTTTTTTGAGATGTCATTTCACTGTGTTGCCTACACTGGTCTCCAACTCCTGGGTTCAGGTTATCTCTTGCCTCAGCCTCCAGAGTAGCTGGGAATACAGGTATGTGCTTTCATGTAAGATTTCAATGAGAGACTCTTAAATGAATAATACATACTTTTCTAATATCTGTGTCAAACTTTAATGTACACATATGAAAGATACAAAATATTTGATGGGATTGAGTCGCCAAATAAGTTTACTCAACTTTTAATTTCTCATTCAAATATGAATCTCAAAATTCTTTGCCCAATCTTTGAAAATCTTTAGTAGAAAGTAAAGACAGATCTGAAGTTTCTCTTGTCCATGTAAATCACCTCTAAGCAAGCCACAGGTCACAAACATGGAAGGCTAACTTCTTAAGCACAGCTTTATTTCAATTCAGAAATTCTTTCTGAGTTTTACATGGTAGTTTTCCTTCACCCTCCACTGTAGTAATGTCTTTTGGGGTGGCTGACCTTCCCACAAACCTTCCACTCTTTAAGAACCTTCCTTCTTCTTTCACTGAACTTCAATGACTTTATGATCTACACTGTGAGTCACATCTCCCACAGGTACAGCTGAGCAGGTTACACTGGAAACTTCTCACTGGGACTAGGAAACTCCAGGTTACTCTAGGTTTCTCTCCTGAGTGTGATTATTACTTAATATTCTTCATCAATTCAAATGTTCTTTTCAAATTTCTACTGTGTCAGAAAAGCTACATAGAATTAAAGCAAGAAGACTTAATTCTTGATGGTATCAATACTTCTCAGTCTCCAGCCACAGGATGTCTCAAACAAGCAAAGGAATTTGGTCACTAAATTTAAAAAGCCTGAGGATATTACTAACCTTCTCTTAATTTTTGCATTCTCAAATTTCTGTTTTCCTTTACACAAACCTATGGGCAATCTTTTAGATGAATTTAGGCCTCTGGTGTCTCTAGATTCAACTAAAACCAGCAGTTGAGTGTTTAGTTTTGACCTAACCAGCAGGGGTCAGAGTCAGAACAAAAACAACCTAAGGGAGGAGTCTGGAAAGAAGTTAGCCGGGTAGCAAGCAAAAGTCAACTGCTTCTGCCCTGCAGAAATACTGTGTGGAGAGCAAATACCTTATGAAGATAGTGAAAAGTGTATGGTTTCCTTGAAAAATCATGCCAAGTAACTGTTAAAGTCCGAAAAAGCTGGAAGAAAAATTATTGATGTTTTAATAAATCAAAATTTTTAAAAATTAAGTAAAAATAAAATTTAAAAAATAACTCTAGAGTGGGCTGAGGTAGGTTATGGAAGCACATAGAAAAACTTTAGATATTACAATTAGCTTCTCAAGTTTGGATTAAGAACAACTTCCAGGTATCTTGCTTTGTAGTGCGTGTGCGTGTGTGAGAAATGGTGAGTTTTGTCCTGAACGCGACTTACCTGTCACGTCAGTCTTTATTCCTGCTAGCTTTAGCAGGGGCTCAACCTTCTCATAGTAGACTTCAGAGGCTTCTTTATTGTGACTTTGTGGATTAAGGAATATTTTTAATGATTTTGGCCTGTCTGAAAAACCTAAGAGGAAAAGGATAAAGTTAGAACATCTTGTTGGCATTTTTTCTTTCTTTTTAAAATGAAGTACTTAGTACTTAAGTCTATTAGAATGTACTTAAAGAGGCTCACAAATACTTAAAGACTATTTGCTCTTATTCAAAATTCTTCCCAGAGTATTCATGAATGTGGCTTTAACTTAAAACATTTATGCTTTCCCATCAGTGAATAGGTTTATTTTTCTTGAAAGAAATTACGAGTTGCCACAAAGCGTTTAACTTATGAAGGGAGGTGTAACTAAAAGCAACTTTGTCAACACTGGGAAATGTTCACATACGTTTACTAAAGCTCAGACAAAGCTATCACATGTTACTTTAGCATTTGTTTCTTGGGAAAAGTGATGGGCTATAACAAATAGAAGGCTCCTCTTCCTCTCCACAGATAAATGTGCTCATTATTGCAATCAGGCACCACAGTGACCCCAGGGCTACTGACGCCTGACCTCCTGATGAGCCCACAGCAGGACTGGGGAAGCGGGGACTGGCACAATCAGCACCCAGAGCAGTGCGTGCTGGGAGCTAAGAGGAGGGTTCAGGTCAGAGTTCACTTGGAAAGGGGGCCAGGGGAGGAAAAACCCCTCTCTTGGGAACTGGGAAAGCAACGCCTCTCAGCGGGGAGCCGATGATGGTGCTGCCTCACAATTGGGGCTGAGATTTGATACTACAATTTTCTGGGCTTGAAAGATGCTTATCACGGAGAACTCGGTTGGAACAGGTGCAGGGCAAATTTTCTGTTGTTAGGAAGGGGCAGGAACCAAAAGAAAGCTGACAGCCGTTTTTTTTTATGATGAGCTGCTCTCAGAGAGCCACTTTCCAAGGTTACAAAAGCAGTTAGTAAAAATCCGTTTTTAATAAACCATTACCAAGAATAAGTGAAAATGTTCATTACACCCAAATCAGTCTTTCATACCTCAAGTGGAGACAGTGTTCCATTTCTCATCGTCTTTGATCTAATAGCAATCTTCCAACAGCACGTCGAATTCGTTTGGATTTCAGGGGAGTTTTAGATGAGGAAGAGGGCGGGCCCTGCTGACCCTCTTAAATGTTCCCCGTGACACTGGCCAGGGTGTTTGTTTTGAGAAGACCATGCCACCCCTTGGGCTGGACACCTACTTGAGTGCTTCCTTCCCCAGTTCAGCATAGGAATGAGCGCCCGGCCCCCAGAGTGGTAACTACTCGCTTTCGCTTCCGTGCCTTCCGCCCCCCCCCCCCCGTCTCCATCCTGGTCCTGGGGCACAGAGCCCCAAGCTGTTCTCCCATCCCACTGCGTCCTCCCATCAGCCCCCAGCAGCGCTGCACTGGTAGGAGCTCATGGCCGCCTGTGCAGCGAGCCCGAGCCCCTGAAGGTTGCATTCTGGGACTGCTCTCTCGGGACCCTAATTCCAAGCCAGCACCTCTCCTTTCTCTCTCACACATATTCATGAAACACTTAAGTGAGCATGTGTGCTGAGTCCTGGGAAGAAGGACCAGATGAGACACTGCGCATGCTTTGGCGGATGAAGACGCATCCACAAATGCAGACAGCCCTAGACAAGCACAGGCTCGGTGGCAGAAAGGCATGGACTTTAATGGGAGGGAATGAGAGGAGGGCAGTTAGTTCTTACTAGGGATCTGGAAAAGCTTCCAGAAGAAGGGAAGGTGTTTTCACCACCTAGAATTCTTTTTTTTTTCATTACATTTCATCTCACTCCTTAGATAATATCAGGGGTGGAAATTGTAGGCAGTGAGAACAGCTTAAGCAAAGGCTAAGTTAGCACAAGGGAGCTTTAGGGTCCATGTACACTTCCTTACCATAGTCCAGGCCACTGCATTATTGCCAAGTACCAAGTCTGCCAGGCTTTCTTTTGTTCAAGACTTTTCCCGTTCCACTCCACCACAACCCCATTTTAATCAAAATTCTACCACTTTTTCAAAGCTCGGCACCATGTCCTCACGGAAGCCTGCCCTAATCACCACCAGAATGACTCCATAGGCTTCTCTGCTCCATGTAGCCCTACTACCTTTCTACGCCATTTTATATAAAAAGTTCTGATGTAATACCTAATATCTTGAGACTTCCGCTGGCCAGTCTTGGGACAACATAAAATGCAATGGCAGTAACACATTATATTACATTGATCTTTAAACACTCAATCCCATTAATAACACCGACAATAAAATGAAGGACAAGAAGGGAAAAAATTGTCTTCTAATAAAATAATAAATATATAAGACATTGTAAAGTTTTAAAAATCACTATTTTTAGTATCAGAATAATAACTGATTCAGGCAAGAAGTAATGGGTGTTAAAACATCTGGTGAGAATAAACTTGGAATAAAATATTTACATATTCTTAAATTGTCCCTTCTCATTCCTTACTCATTATCCCCTTTAAAAGATACTAAAGAGATGACAACTTAGTACATCTGATTCAAGTTAGGTTAAAAAGAAACAGCTATAAAGGATAGTATCACTGTCCTTTAACCAAGCAGGACTAAGTATGTAAAGCCCAGGATTATTTATATTAAAATACAACAAGGACAAAATAATTAAAGCTCTAAACCCCAGACATCAAGCATCAGATGAAATATCTAGATTGTTTACCTGATACATTTTTCACTATTTTTACACTATTGAAATATTTTTATCCTATTTCATTTTCCAAGGAGTGGCAGTCACAGAAAGGATATTATCATCCCAGAAACCACTTTTATTACTTCCTCTTTCTCCATTCATGTTTTTTCACAAACCACTGCATGCCTGGACATGCCAGGCAGGGTCCTAGAAACTGAGGCTAAATGAGAAAAGCCTCTGCCATCACGAGGCTTCCATTGTCACCGAAGGAAACAGCAACAAACAAGATAACTCAGAGTATGCCTGAGGTGCCAAGTTCTAAGCACAAAACAAATTAAACTTGGCAGCCAATGAGAAGGAAGACAAAGGCTGGAGTGACACCCTAACCAGGGAAGGTCAGATAACCCAGTCTCATTCCCAAGGGCTCTATCTTCTGTTGGGTAGGAGAAACACAGTGAATTCTGAGCAACACAGCCACACAACCATAGGTGTTTACAGGATCCCTCTGGCTGCTGTGTGGGCAGTAGCGACAGCAGATCCAAGAGCTGACAAAGAGCAGTTGCAGCTTTCTAGCTAGGAAATGACTGTTCTTTGACTGGAATGGGTACAGTGGAGGTTATCAGAAAAGTTAAATTCTGGATATGTCTTGAAGGCAGGGCTGACTGGATCTAAGGACTGTTTCGACATACTATTTGAAAGTGAAGTGTCAAGGAGCAGCCAAATGGTGGTTGGATAAAAGGAATGAGGATATAAAATGGAAAAAAAAAAGGGCTAATGACAAAGTGGTGGAATCTATTGTGGTCACAGTTGGGGTTGAAGATTTTAGAAATGCCTGGAGTTGATCTGGTGGGCTAGGAAGACCAAAAGCAGCAGGGGAGGGGAGGATGCCTGAAACTGAGATTCAGAGTTTCTGGTACTGGAGTGTCAGACTCATCGGAATCTCCTGAAAGGCTGGGGCTTCCTAAAGCACAGATTCTAGGTCCCTGTCCCAAAGTTTTGGGTCAGAGATGGGATCCATTTATGATAGGTTGCAAATGATGCTGGTGTCAATCTGAGCTTGAAGAACCACTGCTTTAGAGGAATAATTAAGGGAGGACGTGGATGGAGTAAATTGCAAGTCAAGCTCTTTGAACGAGAGGAAACCAAATACTGAGAGACCATTTACAAACACACCTACAATTATCACAAGAGTCAGTGACAGTAAGACAGGGGCTTAAGCCCCCAAGAAGTGAAAAGAATGACCCTACGCACAGGCTTGCGAGTAGTCCTAGCTAAAGGTGTGGGACCAGAGGTAGAAGACAGCCACCACTTGAGATAACAGTTGGGGAAGCTTAAAGTCCTTGGGAGAGCTGGGTCTCTCTACTAACGCAAGGAAGCAAGGGGAATATTTAGAAAAGTGGTTAACATATAGGAGATTTTGCTAATAAGCACTGTTCATTCCAGAGGGCAGGGTAAAATGGTGTTGTCATTGTTTTCTGCATAAGGTAACTACAATAAATAAAGTATTTAGTGTTTATGAAAGTGACTGGAATATAGTAAGTATTCGATAAATTTATTTCTTTTTAACATACTCTTACTAAGAAGTAAAACAATCTGTTTTCTTGTATCTTCAGATATAATAAAATATCAACATAAATTCAGATATAATATAAATTCAAAGTATTTTCAAACTTTTTAATCTGTGACAAAGAGGTAAAAAATATTTCTCTGTAATGTAACCTTATATTTCTCTTATTATGAAGAAAATTGAGACACTTTGGAAATGTTTAACAGCTATTTGTATTTTTCCACGCACTGTTTATATAACTTCTCAAATTTTTCTATTTTATCATATTAATTATAACAGTGCTTTGTATAGTAAGCCAACCTTGTTTGCTACGAGTTAGAAACACATTTCCCAATGTATTATTTTCCTTTGATTTTAATTTATAATGTCTTCTCCATACTGGAAGTTCTCATATTTATGTGTCTATTGTTGACTTTATTAATCATTTCTTTCATGGCCTCTAGGTTGTGACATATTTAAAAGTCCTTTTTTTAGACTTAAAAATTGTATTTTTCTTCTAGTGCCTTTATGATCTCCATTTTATAAGAATTTTTGTAAAAGGTATATAACTGGAATTTGACTTTATTTTTAACCAGAAGGCTATCTATCTGTCCCAACATCATTCATTAGATAATCCCCACAAATTTTGGTAATATTTCCCTTTTTTGTGGTTTTTGGTTTGTCTATGGTGCTAGGGATTGAATCCAGGGCTTCATGTGCACTAAGCTTACCCTCTATCCCTGAGCTATACCCCAAGCTGCTCCCCATAGAGTTAAATGCTATTTTCAGATATATAAAAATTCCTGAAAGTATTTGAATCTCTTTCAGGACTGTCTAGTATTTATATATCATATTATTTTAAATA